TTTGGACATTTCATGTAAATTTACGATAAAATTTCAAAGAACTTACAGAAAATGCAAATTTTACGGTGCAATTTTGTCATACTAAATTAGTTAATTAACCGGATTTTTAGATGACAAAAGCTCATAAAATAGTTTTTTTCTTAGTCACACTTAGGTAGAAAAAAGTAATCTTCGATGCTGCACCGCCTTGACATACCATTGCTTTCAAAAACATTCATGATATATTTCTAAAAATAAACTAACAATGAATTGTTTGTTAAATAAATTTTAAAAAATGACGCTAATCAAACGTTGAAAATTCATTGAGAGGTTTTAATTTTATGGCGATGGTACACGAACTTTCCGAACAATTCTTGTACACTTATTGTAATATTTTTAAAATCTTTTTAAGATCGTCCAAAAAATTATTATGATAAATACCATAAATTAAAAATAAAATAGGAAGCATACCTTTTAAATGAATTTTTGCTTCTCAATGTATTTGTAAATGTCTGGCTAATAAGTGATGCGATCTAATCATATGAGAGACGTTGAATGTTATCAAACGTAGATCTTGTCTTATACAAACAATTGTGGAGATAAACACGCTTGTGTCAAAGTTTAATATTGTATTAATTATATACAATTATTGCTGCTTTTCAGGCCAATACGATGATTTAGACACTTGAGGAGTTTAACTGAGCATGAAGGGTGAATGAATATTGTACTTCGAAGGTGGCTAAATCATCGTATTGACAGCAAAAAAGCAATAACTGTTTTATTATACGCTTAAATGATAAAAAAAAACTCCTACAAGATTGTTTTATCACTTTTATTGAAAGTTTTAATGAGAACATTCAAAAAACAAATTCTAACAGGAAAAATGGAACAGTAATAATTCATTATATTGACCTGCAATAAGTCCTTATATTAACCCGGAAGGTCACGTGATCATTATTTTTTTTCTAGAAAAATGGTGGCTTCTTTCTACTGCGTAGGACTGAAAAGGTTGAAATCAGTGAATTCTGTGCAAAAGACATTTTTTATTAAGACATGTTTTAAATGTTAAAGGTTACAATTTCTATTATGCATAAAAATAAAACTTTTATTGCTGTGTCCTTCAAATTGACATATAGGTATATCCCGACGACCTATTATCAATTTGAATAGTTAAGTTAATTTTTCTGTCGATTCGTTATATCCCTATGAAATTGAAATAAGACACAATAGAGTCGGAGAGATCTGTTTCATGTTGGGATATTTCGCTAAGAAAAAGACATTAAAGGTACTTGGACACAAATTTGAAGTCATTATTTTCTCTATAATATTACGACTTATATATTTTAATAGCATTTCACACAAAAATTGATTAAAAATCTTATTTCAGTTAAAAGTTATTAAAACTTTTTTTTTGGCGGGTTTGATTGACTCATCCTTGCACTTTCACAAATTTTAACCTTATTTTTAATCCTTAGGAAAAGTGGCAATCCTGTGATGTATTAATGAGAAATATTAAAACTTTTATCCAGAAAAATAATTTTATTCAGAGTAGAAATGTTAGAAAGCAAAATCCCTTCACACGTATCGTCATTCCGAACTAAGAGTTGCGTACAGAGTTTAGCAAATCGAGCACACTTGTGTTATGTACACAGTTTTTGTAAACAGGGCATGACTTCTGTTTTTGTTGATGTTTACAATTCACCGGATGCGTTCAGTCGTCACAGTCTGCTTACCACAACTGCACGGACTGCCAATATATTGTGAGTTTGTTTTGCTTTCGAAAATGTCTACTCTGAATTTTCTGCATTATAGTATTAATGTTTTTCATTTATACACAACGAGATTGCCACTTTTCCTAAGGATTAAGAATAAAATTAATTTGTGAAAGTGCAAGGATGTGTCAATCAAACCCGCCAAAAAAATTGAAATTTTGATATCTTTTATATGAAGTAAGATATTTAATTAATTTTTGTGTGAAATGCTATTAAAATATATAAGTCGTAATATTATAGAGAAAATAATAACTTCAAATCTGTGTCCAAGTACCTTTAATTGAAACCTTACAATAAAAGTTTGTGATAAACTTGTTGACTTAACTTTTCTATCGCCAATCTCTCTTATTTGAGTAGCAATATACGCTGATCATTTGCATATGGGGTTTATGTCTCCCATTTGATTCGATATTGAAGGGCATGCTCTATAACGTAATAACTTAAAACTTGATACCTACAGTCTCGTTTAAAGTCATCATTCTGATCAAGTTCTATGGTCGATACAATGAAATTATCAGGAAATAGGATCCATTATTAAGCCAATTGCTGACTTACGTTTTTTATACTTATTGTTGATCTATTATTTACACAATGAAATTTCTACTTTTTTTCCGTTTATCCGATTATAACAAGGAGCACACGGCGGGTGAGACCCGTCGATATAGGGAATGTCTGCTTCTACTCGTATGTTGCACCTGATCCACCTCTTACGCTTCTTTTTGGAAGTCTGTGTTTGTTTAAATATGCTTGTACAGTGTTTGCTATCTCCATATTTTCTTCAATAATGGAGGTTTGAATTTACAATACTGTTTAAAATTCACGGAAAGAAAGCAATGAGCTTTAACACTGTTCGTTATTTCCATAAATTTTATTGAAGATGAAAAGTCCCTTGCCATTCTATACGGAAAGAATAGTACAATTTATATCAGAAAACATTCGATTAAATTGTGTTTTCTAATTGCGCACAGGGTCATCAAAGTTAAAATTTAATCTTTCAACACTTTGTTACTGTACCTAATTTGTCAAAATTTATGTTTCGTTTTTTTCATAAACTCAAAATATCTTTTGCAGTGTAAACCAGCTTGATTTTAGACGCAAGCTATGTCATTATTTTTGTACCTAAAAAAATAATTTGACAAAAGAAAAACAATAAGCATGTAGTCTGTTACTTGTTAATCAGTGGCAATACGTGTACACGGAACAAAAAAAGGCACAGAATCTTATTGTGCTATTTACAACAAAAAACTCACGCAGATCTCATTAAATGCCTTTGTTAAAATTATTCTTGATTCTACAGAGAAAAAAAAACAAGCCTTGAGTTGATACCAGAAAGAAGCTGGTGTTTCCCATGAACAATTTACATATTGTCCTTGGAATCCAGGTCAGGAAGCAGTCTTTTTTAAACATAATTGGACTCCCTTTATTAGTCAGCCATGTGCTTTATTAGTCAGCAAGTATGGACTGCTTTAGTAGGTCCTTGAACAATTTCTAAGTGACTGCTCTACTTCTTTAAAAAATATGGATAAATGAAATAGGTGATGGATTTTTGACCAGTGAAATTTGCCACTAATGAAACATATGGAAACAAAAGTATTCAAGATCAACAATCCATGAAACAATACAAAATAGGAGCAAAGCAAACACGGAACTCCAAAACATCATGACTGATGATCGCTTTGATATTTATGAATATATTCACATCAAACAAAACAAATACCCGGTATAAAGAAATACAAAGACAAATATACAACCATATTACCAAGCACCATTTTGAATTTTTAATTTCCTTTGAATGTGCGCTTACAAAAAAAATGCATAGTTTTCATTAAAAAAAAAACCCTTCAGTAACAATGTTGCTACCCTTAGGGTCATTTTTTAAAGTAATAATAGTATATGTATTTAATTTTTATTGGAGGCACACAATAACCTCCTGTTTTAGTTACGTGGCAGAGATACCATTTTTTTTCTCATAAAATCTCCAAACAAGGCAAAAGAAAAGAAATTAAACCTTGAAAATCAATCATTTATTTTTTATAGAATGTTTAAAAAATGACTGTAAGGTGTCTTAATTTATATTCACTAGCAAAGAACAGCGTACTAGTATTAGTGTTTATCATAAACTTTTATAAACAGCGATCTAAGCAGGTCTCGGCCCATTTCTCGCAGTCGAAGTTACACTTGTTATTCAGTTCCCCAGATGGAAGTTTACGACATCCGTAAAAGAGTTTACAGTTGTTGTATTCTGTGTTACAGTGGTCCCAGCATTCCTTCTCCAATGGCGTCATGACCATTTTTCTGTCGTTTGAACGTATACTTTTTGAGATCGTGGATAAAACCAAGGAAGAAGCCAGTAAAATGCACGCCAAGTATTTCATTTTCTTAATCAATCTGAAAAGGGAAAAGTAGAACTGAAGAACTTGTGTTTTTTCTAAAATGTTAATGGCTTTGTAGTATTTTAAAATTCAATACATGTACGTAATTGTGAAAAATGACCGATAACATTTAATTCATAAGTGAATATTCTCTTGCTGTTATAACTTATAGCCTTTCTTTTAAAAAAAAATAGTCCCCTCTAAGTCTAACAATCAGAATGTTTTTGATGTCAAACTTGTGTCATGTAAAATAACTTACCTGTCCTTGAATTCGAAATCCCTTCAAAAACAACTCGTATCATGTACTATTATTTACTTGCCCTCAAATCCAAAATTAATTCAAACCCTACTCGAATAGAAAGTATATGCTATAATTACTTGCTCTGAAATCCGAATTCCCTTCAAAAACAACTCGTATTATGTACTTTTACTCACTTTCAAATGCGAAATCTCTTCAAAAGCAACTTGTAACATATACTTTTACTCACTTGCTTTCAAATACGAAATCTCTTCAAAAAGCGAATCCTTCCAGTTCAGATTTGCAGAGATGATTTTATTAACAGATATTTCATGTCCTAAACATGGCTATAAATGAGATTATAAACAATGGATAAATTAGTAAATATGAAGTGGTCACAGGTGGAAAATAAACTGTGGGATGGTCAAAGGGAGCAGATGGTCAAATTGAGACATCTAAACATCGTTATCCAAGTCTTAGTTATAGCTATATAATAGGTGTCGCGGTCGTTAATTTCATGCTTATTTTGTCATATTGTTATCCATTGATTGTTCTATTTAACAGCACAAAGGTCATGATTTAAATAAAGTGTAAAATCAGATTTATATAAACATTGTGGAATGAAAATCAAAACAAAACTGGTGTTGAATGTTTTATTTGTATCTAATCAATATTATGTATAATATATTTTTTTTTAAAAATGCTTTCTTTCAATGGTTGTTAGTACGAGAATAAATGTTCTCATTAATGTTGCAGAGATATGCATAACCAACAAAAGCAGGTTATATAATTTTTCCCGCAACAGCTGCAATGAAGGTTAATTCTCATACTAAAAACCAACGAAATGATTTCTCAGTATTTTAAGTAGGATAAAGAAGACTAAATATAAAACAATTTATTTGTACATCATTATGCATGTACGTATCATTGATAAAGGAGCTCAAGAAATATGTTATATGCTCAGGGATGTCCACGACTAATACCAACAGTTTTCTTAAATAACAGAGATAATATGAAGTGGATGTAAATATTCAGAAAAATAAGAATTCTTACCATAGACATACAAGTGATTATAATTTTATAACTTTGGAGAAGGACTTATAATTAATCATTTAAACCAAAAAATGAATTTGTTAAGATATCGTTGCAATAACTTATCAGATCAATTAATAAGTATATGTATCTTTAAACAGTCTATTAAATTAAAACAAACATAAAATTAACTTCATTTTTTTTATCGGTTCACAATTCATCTTAATTGAATAAATTATTAACAATAGAAGTTACTTTGTGAAGTACAACAGTTATATGAAAAATATCATCAATTGAATATAATACATTGTACTATATTTGTAATATAATATTGTTAGATTAAAAATAAACGTTCACATCACATGCTGCATCTTTTATCTTTTTTAAACAAAAGTATTCCCTGATGAAAGTCAGTCGCTGCATAGAAAACAAAATCATCAAAAACATAACTCTAGACAAAGGTTTCCCTTTTGTTAGTTATCATTTCTATTATAGCTTTGTCAAAAAGTTCGATTCCTAAAGGTACTATATAAAAGAACTGAATTGGTTACTCTAGTCAAGAGTCAATGATTCTTTTTTTTTTAATATAAAGTCCTGTTCAGTAAATTCAAAACAAATGTATGCAATATGAAGATAACGATCAAACTTTTGAAACAGTACAATCTAAAACACCACAGGTAGGATCAGGTGTCATGGAAAAGTAAGCATCCCTCACCGTAAGCTCAATCTCATGATAGGGCATTAAACAGAAAAGTCTGTTAATTCGGTATATAAATAATGACTACATGTATGAAAAACATCAGTCAGCACTCGACCTAATGATAGATCTTATTTGCTTACAAGGTGATTTTATCTATATTAAAACGACATTAACATATCCTTGTTCCATGTACTTGTTTGTCAATAGCTTGTTTCATTTAGGAATTGTTTTTGTACCTAGAGCATTCACTTGCGTATCGAATCAACTGGGAGGCATAAACTCCACATGCAAGTGGGAAGGCAAAGACTAAGGAAAAGTTGAACTCATAATGGTTATCACAAGTTCACTGCAATAAATTGAGTCGTAATAAAAATGGAATTATCTATCGTCGATATATCTAAGTGTCAAGTTAAAGGTCAAAGGAAGTGTTTCCTTGTTCAATATATCAATCTCCTCGTGTAGTAGTTTTTGACTCCTGCTTCACAGGAATAATAAAAAAAAAAATCGGATAATACAATTGGCACTCGTGGGAATTCCATGTGATTTTTGAAAGACTTGACTCACAAGACTACAAAAATATTGTCATCTAGAAACTCAAACATCTTTTAAATATCAACTTCAGAGTAATTGTGTGTACAATCAGAATGTTTTTATATAAAATAATTTTTCCGTATGACCCATGAGAAGGTGAAGAAATTTACAAGTTCCATTTTCGTTTTTTAAAAATCTAGTATGGACTTAAATTTATCGTGGGGTATTGCTGCATATGTCTTTACCGTATTAAATCTGCACCACAAATACATGCAATATGAATTAAGTTGTACAAAACATGGCATATACATTGAAGACGCACAAACTGAAAATTAATCCATGCAATATTGTGTATATTTCAAAAATACGTTTGATATAAATATTTATTATGTGTATGAATTATCCTCAAAACCAGTCAATGTATCAATTAAAAGCTCTTTTACTTCAGCTTTTCACAATTTAAAACCACTGATAGTCAATCATCATCATACATCTCATAACGAAACGGTTCTGTTATTCTGAGTTGTTCCCGTTCAAAATACTAGTAGTCTTTGAAGATCAGACTAAGATGAAAGGTTCACAAGAATCCAATAGACAAAGAGAAATTAAAAAAAAAACACGTCAAAATAATACCCCTTATCCTTTCCCAATATGGCAAAAAACGCTCCAGTATGCATCAGATGTTGGTAAAGGGTCAAACAACACGTGATTACTATTGGTGCTTTCCTCGCTGATCCTTATTTTTTCGTTTGCAAAACGAACATTTATTGCGGATAACTTGCATGGAGCCAAAAACTCTCTCTCTCTCTCTCTCTCTCTCTCTCTCTCTCTCTCTCTCTCTCTCTCTCTTTTTTTTTTTACAAAATACACGAAACAAATTTTTTTAGACATTCATAAAAGAAATTTTGGCGGTAAAATGAAGGTGATGAGGAGGAAAAATCAACCGTTTAAGACTTCAGTTGATGTCCTGGTTCTGCTTAATATATTTGATGCGAGATGACTTGTATGTACAACAGCCTTCACTAACGAAAGTTCCAATCTATGAGTCACCTCTAATGAAATCGTTAATGATACGCGGTACGTTATGGTCAAATCCACTAATATTCAAAGTATTTAAATCCGTGGGATCTCCAATAGTTACACTGGGAGAAATCATGTCACACACCACTAACCGTGGTCTTCTTTCTCCTTTTGACTTTACTGTTTCGCAGTAAGTTTTGAATGCTTCGCTGGGATGCACATTTCCTGAAGTAGTATCGGAATCTGTAATTATTACAAAAGCGTCGAAGTATTTTCGATTGCTCCGAGCATACTTAATAGGCATGGATCCATCAGTTGTTTCTGAGGATCCAAACGACATTAACCTATTGACTATATCATTCTCATTGTCGTCTGCTTCGACAGTTAATGGTTGACATTCGTTGCTTGTAAACACAAGTGTCTCGCACGCCCTCTCTCTTTTAGCCATTATCATTATCATGAAAGCTGATGCTTCGAGAGCTGACAGTGAGGGCACTCCTATGCATTTCTTTGTCATGGATTGACTTGCCCCAAAAGCCAACAGTATTCGTTTATCGGTTGGTGGAATGCATTTTAGTGATATATGAAGACCTCCTCTTAGAGCATTCATCACTGATTCTAACACTGGCCATTTTCTTTTACCGTTTGCACTCTTTCCCTCTTTATACTGATTAAGTGCAACCATAAATGTCATTGGGTGTATGCTGCTCGAGACAATTAATTCTTCGTTCTGGATTTTGCTTAGAACCAATTGCTTTTCAAAAGAATCCTCCGTCAGGCATTCCAAAACTGACATCTTTCCTAGATTTCGAAACATCGCTGTCATGGGCATATGTCGCAATAAAGCATTCCAAACTTCTTTGTGCTTCAAGAAAAGAGTGGGAATTTGCTCTCTGGCCAATTTGTGTCTTAAAATTAGTCCACGTATTCCCGCCACGTCCTCGGGGTCGTACCTTCTTGCTTCATCCACCTGCTCGATGTAATTCATAACTTTTGCAAGCACTGAAGATTCAAAACCCTCGAGACGTTTCTGTTCAATGGTGAACTCATTTGCATCTGCAAACTTCTTACCCTTTACAGCTACCATCACTAAATATTTCAGAGCTGGATACAGTCTATTGTTTACAAATTTAGGGAAATCTTTATCAATTTTCAAATGAGCTTTACGGATGACGTCCCGATGTGTCCATCCCTCTCGTCGCCTGTATTTTGTAAGATGATATGCCATTAGTGTTAAATGTTTCTCTTCATCTGCATACTTTATGTACCAGTTGCTTATCGCTTTGCGATGCGCTCTTCCCCATCCCGATTCCTTTAATTTTGACTGTTCTTTGCTGATTTTCTGGCAAAAATCAACAAATTTAAATAAATGAGTTGGTATTTTACAAACATCTGATAGGATGCCATAGCCAGCTCGTTTTGTGTTTGGATCTGAAGACCTACAGCATATTGCCAATGCGTAAATTATATAGTCCTGCTTGTAAGCTTGATGTACTTCTGAAAATTCTTTAATTATTTCTACAGCTCTTGGTCCTTTTTCATTTCTGATTAATCTGTGGAAAAAAATTTAAAAGTGATTTGAAATTAAACATATGGAGATAACGAACAGTATACAAGATCAAAAGTCCATAAAACAATGCAAAATAGGAGCAGAGCAAACACGGACCTCCAAAACATCAGAGGTGGGATCAGCTGCCATGGAGGAGAAAGCATCCCCTGTCGACCATTTAAGGGGCAAATGAACTTTACCGATATGTACAAGTTACATGGAAATAGCACGTGGTCTTTCTCTATTAGAGAGTCATGCATAAGCGTGACGATTCCATTAAAACGGCAATAAAATGCAAAAATAACATATTTTTAAATTCCTCATCATTTTTCATGTTAATAAACTTTGTTTAAGTAACAAAGTTTATTAATTACAATTTTCTGGGATTCCAAAACAAACCTGCTCTATCCTAATTCTTGACCGCATTCCAAAGACATGGCGTTGCTAGTCTTGTGACCTGGGCGTGCTTCCTGATTGGTTTAGAGGTAAGTTATCGTAAAGTCATTTGAAGTTGTAGACACGAAACAGCTGATTCAAATTCGAGTTTTACTACGCCCTTTGTCTATGACAATATTTATGAAGTTTGCAAAAACAACTGTTTTTGTTAGACTGGCTTCAAACTAAGGGACTTGTAGGTGACTTTCCCTTAGTGTGTGTGTGACATTTGTGGAGAGGGGTCAGCATTTACTCGTTCATAAATTGTATTTACTGACAAGGCCATTGTATCGACCAAAGAACTTACGAAATGATGACTTTAAACGAGATTGTTGATATTCTTAATTCATCAACTTGGTTGTCAATAATTTACCTTGTTTTAGAAATTTTTCATACGTAGAGCATGATCTTGTGTATTGAATTTGAATCAACTGAGATTAACTCTTATATTACTGCATAAGTAAGGGAAGTTGACGATAGAAAAGTTAAAGTCATCGCGTTTATCACAGAGCTTGGTTGGTTGATTACCATTTCCCATTAACGTTTTTTTTTTCAAGTAAAATATCCAAATATGAAACAGATGTGTCAGACTCTGTGGTATCTTTTATCTCAAGCTCACCAGGATATGCTCACTCTTCAACGGCACCTGATCCCACCTCTGATGTTTTGGAGGTCCGTGTTTGCTCTGCTCCTATTTTGTATTGTTTTATGGACTTTTGATCTTGAATGCTATTCGTTATCGTTGTTTCATCGTATCGACATAGGAATAGAAATTACCATTGTTAATTGACAATACGCCGTCGATATATCTAAATGTGAATGTCGAGTTGAAAGTTAGAACTATAATATATACACTGTAATTGTTCGATCAAGAACACTGGTATAGGGTGCAACTGATGAATCAAATGAATGATACTGACGAATTAGATACCCGGTATTTGTTCTTTGTTCGGAGCATTTTAGATATTGCTATTTGTACGGAAGCGTGCAGGTTACTCTACACTTGTATATTAAAATTTTGTACATCGTCAAGTACATTTTATTGTCTTATCTGGCTGTGAAGTATACCGTTAAATTATTTTCATGTGTTTTGGACGATAAGACGTTTTTTTTTTCTTTTGTAATTTATTACAATTTCAGAATATTTCTTGCGGGGTCGAAGTACAGCTATAGTCTTCTGATATGTATATATTATTGAAACTCCACTGTCTAAGGGCAGATCACTCTCTCAGAAAAAAAACATTAAGAAGAAAATTTTATACAAAGGAAAACTATTAATTCATCATTTTTTTTTTCCTCTTTAAATCTGTGCAATACATACTCACTCTAAAACACAATCTGCGTCCATAGTGTTCAAATCCCTACTTCCAGATGAGTATGCATTTGTTGAATGGCCCAAACGAAGAAAACGAACAAGCTCCTCTTCCAGATCTGATGCGAGGGATGGAAATACGAACCGATCTACGGCATTTTGTACCTGCTGCTTCGATATTGGATCTCTTTGATCTGTCGAGCAGGTGCCCTCCCGTATAGTCAAAAATTCCACTTCCATATCCTCTTCATCCTCTCTGTCAGCCATTTTGACAGATAGTTGTACATAATAAAACTTTACTTTCGTTTTAAAAACTCCAGCAGCGAGGATTTTATTCAGTTGTGATTATCTCGCATTTCATATTGTTATGACAGGACCATAGGAAGCAGTTTCAGTTTGGGTGGGGGTGGGGGCATAGTTCGTTTTCAGTTGGAGGGGCACTATCAACTACCACTACCTTGACAAGCAAAAAATAAGGGGGGAGATGTTTGTACGTATTGATGAGGCATATATGATTATATCAGCTATGTTATTAGCTGCAGACCTGTAGTGTTATGGTTTTATATATTTGTCTTTGACCATAACGCTACAGATCCCGTAGTGCAAAAAAGTTGCAATTTACGGCGTAATATTTTTTGCGCTCTTTTGGGGAGAATTTCTCCACTTTCCAGCAGCGGTCAATCAACTACCTTTAACTCCCTAATTCTAGATACATTATTGAACTAATCTGTATATTTTATCCATCTCCCAACCCTTTATAGTCGTCTCTACAAGTGATAAACTCGCCTGATTAAAATTATTTGTTATATTACTGAAAATTCACTTCAAGCGAGTTTATTGCCTGTAGATACAACTATAAATGGTTGGGTGGTGGATAAACTATACATATTGGATACAGAATGTGTTTAGAATTAGGGAATGAAAGGTAGCTGATTGACCAATGCTAGAAAGTGGAGAAATTCTCCGCAAAAGAGCGCAAAAAATATTGCGCCGTAAATTGCACCTTTTTTGCACTACGGGATCTGTAGCGTTATGGTTAGCTGCAGACCTGTAGCGTTATGGTTTTATATATTTGTCTTTGACCATAACGCTACAGATCCCGTAGTGCAAAAAAGGTGCAATTTACGGCGTAATATTTTTTGCGCTCTTTTGGGGAGAATTTCTCCACTTTCCAGCAGCGGTCAATCAACTACCTTTAACTCCCTAATTCTAGATACATTATTGAACTAATCTGTATATTTTATCCATCTCCCAACCCTTTATAGTCGTCTCTACAAGTATAAACTCGCCTGATTAAAATTATTTGTTATATTACTGAAAATTCACTTCAAGCGAGTTTATTGCCTGTAGATACAACTATAAATGGTTGGGTGGTGGATAAACTATACATATTGGATACAAATGTGTTTAGAATTTAGGGAATGAAAGGTAGCTGATTGACCAATGCTAGAAAGTGGAGAAATTTTGCAAAAGAAAAAAATATTGCGCCGTAAATTGCACCTTTTTTGCACTACGGGATCTGTAGCGTTATGGTTAGCTGCAGACCTGTAGCGTTATGGTTTTATATATTTGTCTTTGACCATAACGCTACAGATCCCGTAGTGCAAAAAAGGTGCAATTTACGGCGTAATATTTTTTGCGCTCTTTTGGGGAGAATTTCTCCACTTTCCAAGCGGTCAATCAACTACCTTTAACTCCCTAATTCTAGATACATTATTGAACTAATCTGTATATTTTATCCATCTCCCAACCCTTTATAGTCGTCTCTACAAGTGATAAACTCGCCTGATTAAAATTATTTGTTATATTACTGAAAATTCACTTCAAGCGAGTTTATTGCCTGTAGATACAACTATAAATGGTTGGGAGGTGGATAAACTATACATATTGGATACAGAATGTGTATAGAATTAGGGAATGAAAGGTAGCTGATTGACCAATGCTAGAAAGTGGAGAAATTCTTGCAAAAGAGCGCAAAAAATATTGGCCGTGGTTGCACCTTTTTTGCACTACGGGATTGTAGCGTTATGGTCAAAGACAAATATATAAAACCATAACGCTACAGATCTGCAGCTACTATGTTATATATATCGTTTTATATATAACCCCGTTACCCATGTATAAAAAAGATAAAAACCAATATTACTGCCGATAAAATAGAAAAAGAATATCCCATACTAAGGCTTCGATATCAAATTGAAAGGGGGAGCAAAAGCACATAAAAAAAAGTAATAAGCCATGTAGTTTTCAATGCAAGCCTAAATTATATGTATATCTTTGCACACAAAAAAATGGGAGAGGGGTTAAGCCCCTCCCCCAGTGAACCGTTCCAACGCCTAAATAAACCTTAAATTGAAAAGGTTATAAACGCAAAAAAAAAAATGCTTAAGTTTCACACAATACGAATAACTTTGTGGACGAGTTAACAATTGGAGAACGATTTTACGTACGAGTTATTTCGTAAGGACAACCGGACGTTGGAAGGATAGAATCGTAGTTAGTAGATTTTTAAAGAAATTCTTAGCAAAAGAATTCAGTCCCGACTTCAGTTTAAGTGAGAATTATCACAGATCCAAAATGGGTAAAGGATTCAACAATTATATGACGAAGAAGTTCTTCCATCCCGGAAGTAAAGACAACATAAAAAGGGTAATTTTCCTCTGTTATCCTAATCTCAGCGAGATGGGTAGAGACTGTATCAAAAGATATGGTTTTCACCATGTTGCGCCGTTTGGTCTTTGTGCTGCAAAATGCAGAAATTATGAAAAGTAGGTAAAAATAGCTACTTTGGGTAGCTTTAAATACCTAGGTAGCTATTAATAGCTACGTAGGTAGAAATAGTCTTTGGACTGGACCTGTTATCAGCTGGGTATCCGATTTTGTTTTTTATTGTAAATATTCAAATTGTTCTTTCAAATACATTTAAATAATTTTAAATTCTTGCTTTTCAGTAATTTAGCTGGTTATATTTCAAGTTTTTAAATCCGATTTTCCCCATCTAGCTAAAACATGAAGGATACATTGGTAAAATAATAATTGGTTAAAATGCATAAGATTTTGTGGGGCATGGCTTTTGATTTGCATATTTTTAAATTTTATTTTAAGGTTTGGATGGCACAGCAGAAAACAGACTATGAAAAGCAAAAACAAGATGAATTGCTTTCTCAGTATCAAAAAGAACAGGAAATGTACAAGAACAGGTAAGGCATTTAAAGTATAGAAACTGCCAAACAAATAAAAACTCCTAACATGCCTAACAAAGATTTTTTTTAACATATATGTTGTTTATTGATGGTTATGATATCTTTGTGTAATAACCAACCTCATATCAAGGTATTTTGTTCAAACCATGCATAATCATGATAATGCTACATGAAAAATGTGAAGTATTACACATATTATTATATCTATTAAACATGTTAAACATTGTAAAGTTACAACTGCTTTGAGATAAGGCCGACAATAAATAGTAGAATATTTGAAATTCATGCTTACAGACAGTATGCTTTTTTGAAAGAAAAGCATGAAAATTAACTGAAATTAACTGTAATCATCACCTGTTTCTCCAGAATAGTTTGCCCAATTTTAGAATATATATTGTTGATAAATGTTGCTTTTTTAGCTCACCTGAGCCGAAGGCTCAAGTGAGCTTTTCTGATCACATTTTGTCCGTCGTCCGTCCGTCTGTAAACTTTTCACATTTTCGACTTCTTCTCAAGAACCACTGGGCCAATTTTGACCAAACTTGGTACAAAGCATTCTTGGGTGAAGGGAAATTTAAATTGTTAAAATGAAGGGACATATCCCCTCGCAAGGGGAGATAATCAAGAAAAGACAAAAATAGGGTTGGGTCATTAAAAAATCTTCTTCTCAAGAACCACTGGGCAAGAAAAGCTGACACTTATGTGGAAGCATCCTGGTATAATGTAGATTCTAAATTGTTCAAATCATGACCCCTGGGGGAAGGGCGGGGCCACAATGGGGAATCAAAGTTTTATATAGAAATATATAGGAAAAATCTTTGAAAATCTTCTTCTAAAGAACCACTGGGCCAGAAAAGCTGAAACTTATGTGGAAGCATCCTGGTATAGTGTAGATTCTAAGTTGGTCAAATCATGACCCCCGGGGGAAGGGCAGGGCCACAATGGGGTATCAAAGTTTTACATAGAAATAAATAGGAAAAATCTTTGAAAATCTTCTTCTCAAGAACCACTGGGCCAGAAAAGCTGAAACTTATGTGGAAGCATCCTGGTATAGTGTAGATTCTAAATTGTTCAAATAATGACCCCAGGAGGAAGGGCAGGGCCACAATGGGGAATCAAAGTTTTATATAGAAATATATAGGGAAAATCTTTGAAAATCTTCTTCTCAAGAACCACTGGGCCAGAAAAAGTGAAGCTTATGTAGAAGCATTCTGGGGTAGTGTAAATTCTAAATTGTAGAAATCATGACCCCGGGGGAAGGACGGGGCCACAATGGGGAATCAAAGTTTTACATAGAAATATATAGGAAAAATCTTTGAAAATCTTATTCTCAGGAACCACTGGGCCAAAAAAGCTGAAACATATATGTCCATGGAAGGATCATGGGGTAGTGTAGATTTCAAAATGTCTAAATTATGATCAGTGGGGTAGGGTGGAGATGCATTATGTATAACAAGGGGGAAATCTGGTAAAGAACAGAATGGTCAAAGCTTCTCAGGTGAGCGATGTGGCCCATGGGCCTCTTGTTATTTGCAGTTTTACAAAATTCATGAAAACTCGCATATGATAATATTACCTGCTTCTGAATTTTTTTATATGTAAATACATGTACCTGCTTGGTGCTATGTAAAAGTATATTATGTTTCAGTTTTGAAGTAGTTTTTACAAGCACTTGCTGTAATTAAGATATGACCTTTGTTAATTTAGAGCTTTACTTGGAGATGAGAAAGCAAAACTTGGTCTGAGTTTTATGTATGATGCTCCCCCAGGACTAAAGAAAAAAGAGGTAGGTTATGATTTATCAGAAAAAGTTCAGTTAATCCATATTTTAAGCATTTGCATTGTTTTCATAACACTAAAAATCATGACTATCATCGTTTTTATGGATATTATAGTAATTAACTGTAAACAAAAATATTTATTGCAATTTTTTCCTCAAATTTCTGTCTGACATGTAAAAAAAAAATCATGTTATTTGTGTTCACAATGGATCGTTTTTGCTTCAGTAACATCAAATAGAAAGTGGTTAAATTGCTAATGCTAACTTTTGTTACCATGTTTAAAAAGCTTTTGATTGCATTTAAAATTGTTCTTGAATAGGGTTTATCTTAATATTTCTTTAATAAAATCTTCAGCTAAGCTTGGTTAATAAATATAGTGCAGTATTAAATCATGATTACTTACCTTAAAGTAATAGTTTTGAGTTTTTACACAGTACACATCTATCAAACACAGAGTTCTTTTAATGCTTCCCCACTGTATTCTCTAATGTATATAATTCCTTTGGAAAATTTTTTTATTAATACATTTTATACATTTATAGACTGAAGAGAAAGAAACTGAAGTGAAATTTGAATGGCAGAGAAAATACAATGCTCCCAGGGAACAGTAAGATTTATATCAATATCTAACATTCTACAATACATATTTATCATATCTATATGTACTACATGTATAAACAATTATAAATGATTATAAGTTCAGCAATGTCAGTGATCTTAAAAGAGATTATAAAAATAAGGGCATGTTATTGGTCCTGGCTATGCAGAATTTACTGAAATTTTAACGTAATCTACGTACACAAAACACAATAAGTAAATTTTTTAAATATTTGAAATATAGTGAATATTATTAGTGTGTAAATCACACATACTTGTCACTCATGAATATTTTTCTTAATTAAAGCATGCTAGAGGTATACCTGCTGCATTACATGAAAAAAAAAATCTCATAATTTTATTAACATTGTCCCATCTTGCAAAAAATTTTCCAGGTACAACAAGGATGATGAGACCATTCGTGACCAGCCTTTTGGAATCGAGGTTAGAAACGTGCGGTGTATCAAGTGCAGGAAGTGGGGCCACGTCAACACAGATCGGATCTGTCCACTGTTTAACCAGGACCTCACTGCCGAGCCTCCACAACGTAAGTAACACTGCGGGAAAAAAATCAGTAACTAAATAATGAGAACATATTGAGGAACCCTTTTATACCCTTGAAAAGATATAGGTTCTTTAAAGTTTGTGTGCACCATCACTTTGAAGGTAAAGATTTTTTCTTAAAAGAAAAGTTGCAAAATCATTCAACTTTTTGAATTGACTTGAAAGAAATTTATGATGAAAATTTCAGATTTGTCCTTTACTAGCTTCGGCGTACCTGTACTATTGTGTAACAGGGATACTCTTTATTTATTCTGTGCTTACCTTTACTCTTGTTTTACCTGCTGTTGTTTTTGATTGGCAGCCTCCACCAGTGCCTCTTCATTACTGGAGGGAATGCAGAGCGAGGGCTTAACGCTGAAGAAAAGCATTCTGGGTAAAATGACAGATGGCGTGGACACAGAGGTAAAAGTTTTTTTTTAATTTAACACTCATCCAAAGACCAAAGTTCTTTTTTTCTTAACTTTCTTTTCTTCTCTAAAATATAATATTGTAGTGACCTTATTTTTCATCTCTCTGTGGATGTGCAGATTCAGGAATTTATGTTTTTTTTCTAGTGTGGTTCACATTAGCGTAAAAAGATATCAGACTCTGAAATTCTATTAACAGCTTATCATATTTAGAATTAATGAATAGAATGTCCAACCCTGATAAAAAAAATTATCTTGTTGAAATTGGGAGGAGTGCAATTTGTGATCAATTCACATAGAAATTTGATATTAATGCTAAAAATCTTAAGGGGATTTGAGGGAGCTTGTTGAGTAATTGGATATTCAATATGAATTAGTAATGCTGAATATAGGTTATTTCTACTAAATACCCAGTAATCATGAAGGTTTACTAAAGAAAAAATAGGTAAAAAGAATTATTATTTAAATTTTTACAGATGAAGCAGTCCAGCAGCTGCTTTTAGCTTTGAAAATAATGTTCATTATTGAAATAAAAATATTGTAGAAGCTTCTGAAGAGTGAGGATGAAGATGACCCCGAAGTCCAGTTCCTGAAATCCCTGAATCCCAAACAGAGGAAAAAGTTACTGAAGTAGGTATCCTTAATCCCAAACAGAGGAAAAAGTTACTGAAGTAGGTATCCCTAAATCCCAAACAGAGTAAAAAGTTACTGAAGTAGGTATCCCTAAATTCCAAACAGAGGAAAAAGTTACTGAAGTAGGTATCTCTAAATCCCAAACAGAATGAAAAGTTACTGAAGTGGGTACCCCTAAATCCCAAACAGAGGAAAAAGTTACTGAAGTAGGTATCCCTCAGTCCCAAACAGAGGAAAAAGTTACTGAAGTAGGTATCCCTGAATCCCAAACAGAGGGAAGAGTTACTGAAGTAAGTATCCCTGAATCCCAAACAGAGGGAAGAGTTACTGAAGTAAGTATCCCTAAATCCCAAACAGAGGAAAAAGTTACTGAAGTAGATATCACTAAACTAAGTGTAAAATGTAAAGCAGAATGTGTTTAATTGAAGAAATATCTGTCGATTTTTTTTATGTAATCAAACAATTTGCTTACTTAGTACTTTGCATACATGTATATGTATATACCTGTTAATTCCAAAGATATAAATTGGAGTTATGACATAATCAAACCCCTAGAACAGACAGTTGTTCCTTATTTATTTACATTTTAAACCTATGAATAATTTAATTCATTTAGTTAGAAATAAGTGAGATATTTTCTTTATTTTCGTCCTTTTTATTTAGGTTCTGGTTAAGAAATCACAATCTGTCCTTGATATACTATAAATCACTTTTTATTCGTGAGAACTTTATTTTCGTGAGAGAATGAGCTCGTAAAATTTCATTCTCACATATAAATGTATTTCTTATGATCATATAGAGGAATAACAGCAATTTGTGAAAATCATGTCTTACTAATTAAGAGCCGTAGACTATCTCGCAAAATAAGGTGTCACCAAAATTTTGTGATCTACAGTACCTTTTGTTTAAAAGATAAGAATGCTTTTCTAACCAAAATGCAATATTGTTTTCATTTATTGGAGTTACCTCTCTTTGTTTCTAAACCCTTTTAATATTAAAGCGGCACAGTGACGCACAAAGGGGAAAATTGACAAATGTAGAATTTTCGCATGACCTCTGTAAATTTTGTTCAATTCCTTAAAGTATTAGGTTTCAGAAAATTACAAGTTTCAGAACCTAAAAATTATATTTTTATGGGGAAAAATAAAAGTAAAAATAATTTCTGTCTGCCCCAGAACGAAAATATTGCAAAATACCCTGGTACTTCTTCCTCCCTATTATACGTGTGCGCAGAAAAGTGTTGAATAAGTTTCCATAATTACCATGGTCTCAGGTATCCACGAATGAATATAAGTAGACCAAAAAATTTGATGTTTAATATCTTTTTAAAAAGTTGTTAGAACATATTTATCACCTTTGCATGATCCAGTTGAATTTTGTTTACAAGTTTGAGCTAAAAATAAAAGTAGTGTGACCTTGACATATATGAAACAACGAAACGGTAGATACAACCTTTGTTTTTCTGGCACTTATATTGTGCAGTCAATTCTTGCAATCTCTTAAATGAGATATCTTTAACTTGATGCTACTGTATTATTTAGAAATGCTGCAATTAAAATGTGTATTCTTTTTTGTAGAAAATTAAATAAACTGCAGACTGGAAAGAAGGAAGGGAAAGTTGATAAAGACAAGAAGAAGAAGAAAAAGAAACACAAGAAGAAGTCTTCAGACTCAGATGAAGGTAGGTTAATGCATTACTAATTATTAAAAGAAGTAGGTAAATTTATTACGAAGAGAAGTTGTAATCTCCCTAAATGATTCAAAGGAAGGCAGATTAATTATCCTTTCTATATATTCAGATGAAAGGAGGTTATAACTTTAGGCTTGAGTTTTTTAATGCATTGATATGTTTCTAGAAAAAAAAGTTTGTAATTTAACTTTTTCTTTCATTTTACAAACTGTACACATTTTTAATGGTAATATTTCTTGTACAGAATCTGACAGAGAAAAGAAGTCCCACAGAAGGAGAAAAAGTTCATCGTCTAGTTCTGAACACTCAGGTCAATATTTTCTTCATTAGGAAAACAAATTTCGATTCTATTTATCATATCATGCATTGTTTATATTTTTTAATGGAGTTTAATTTTTTCCTGTTTTCATGAAAATAAAACTTTTTATGTAATTAAAATAAGTATGTATATTAACATAGTTTTAAAAAATCTTTCAAGCATGTGAATGATTACTGTAAACCAACTTTTATTCGCGGCGACTTTATTTCGCGATTTACCGGGAGTAAAGCAGTTTGCGACGATTAATTTTCGCGATCAATCCTTTTTTGGAACTGTTAATCTTCAAAACTTTACATTCAGATAATTATATGTAGTTGTTTTACACATGTTCAATATTTCAGCTTTTGATTACAGATAATGAACAAGGAAGACGTGAACAATTCAGGAACTCGCAATTGAGGCATTCTCCAGAGAGAAAAGGTCACGGAAGGCGGGAAAGGTCACCAGACACATCTCAGAACAGACGCAGGAGAAGAAGTACCTCATCTAACAGTTCACCGCAGAGAGGCAGCCAGGACCAAAGGTCAAGGAGAAGAGATTCCCGACGATCAATATCCAGGGATCGTAGTCCAAACTTTAGAAAGCAACATAGAAGAAGATCATCCTCTTTTGAGGAAAAGAACAGGGACAGATTACAAAGTTTTAATGAAAGAGACAGGAGAGAGGTTAATAATAGTGGTAGGAGGAGGTCAAGGTCACCAGCTTATAGGAGTAGACAAAGAGATCAAGACAGAAGAAGAAGGTCAAGGTCGTCATCATCTTCATCGGAAAGAGATGGGAGGTTGTTTGAAGGTCAACAGAGAAATGCTGCAAGGTCCTCAGAACAGAGACAGAGACTGAACAGAAGATCTGTATCCAAGGAACGAAGCAGAAGGGACAGCCATAACGCAAGACAAAGAAGGTCAAATTCCAGGGAGAGGAATCAGAGAAGGTCAAATTCCAGGGAGAGGAATGAAAGGTCAAGGTCACGGGACAGAAGACGACGATAATAATGATTCGAGTCATTAATGATTCATTCGAAATGTTAGCCTGTGTCTCTATTGTACCTTTTTGTGATATATGAGATGAAAGATCCAAGTGAAAAATGAAATGAAGAAAAGGTACTTGTACAGTTGTACTCATGGTTAATGCCTGATAATGCAGAAAACACTATGTGTTTTATTTTTTGTGCCAACTGATTATATTTGACAGGTCCAACTCAGGTTGTGTTGGCAAGTTTCCTGAATTCATTTTTTACAAATCTTTTAAAAGGTATTGAGTTTTGAATGGCACCATATATTAACATTTTGGAAATTTAAATTAACAATTTTGAATGATCTATGTGTTTGTACCTGTATTTAAATAAAGTAAATTAATGCTGCATTGTTAATTGAATTGTAATCTTATGGTATTTTATGCAGTTTTCAAAACATGAACAATATTCACAATTTTTTGGAAGGATTAATGGACAGTGTAAGACCCCCCCCCCTCCCTCCCAGAGATGATAGCTATAAGTAACGAGGAAAGCATGGACTCAATGTATCCCCTGTTTATGAGGCTTCAAGTTTAACCCTTTACTTTATACAATGTATTATACCACTGGATCCAGTGTTATAATATAAATTATAGGATTAAACGTGAAGCCTCGCACATTCAATCCATGCTTTTCAATTCATACCTATCCTGTAAATAGGCATTGGAAGCAAATTGACGGGGGGGGGGGGGGGGGGGGGGTTAAACCAACAAAAAAAGGTAAGCCCCAATTTTCAATGCCTATATTATGTCAATTTTTTCAAATAAAAAATGGGGGAGGGGGGATAAGCCCCCCACCCTCCACTGGTTCCGATGCCAATACTCTATAACTTTCTGGTTTGCAGCTTTAATGTCATGGGCTAAATATCTTTCAGTTGTGTACCGAACGTGCCCATGGATTATTTAAAGTCGATTAATCTATCCAGGGCCATATACATTCCCCAATTTTATCATTATCAGGTGTTTCCAAACATTTGGTAGAACATTGCTGTCCATCCTACAGATGTTGGGTATACCCTTCACAGGGAAACAACTTTTACAAAGCATGGAATGGGAGGGGGGTCCCTTGCTGCAGATTAGTTTGACTACTATTCTACAGTCAATGTTATTATTACTTTACAGTCTGAATATGACAAACAGTGAGATTCATTTACGCTTCTTTTTTGAGAGCGAATAGGATGCAAAATATCGCTTTGGCACAAAAAAGGTATCGGTGGAGTAATTAGTGAACGATATAACAAAATCTTTGGGAACGAATTTTTCAAGAACGCCTTATCCTTATTTTTAAAGAAATTCGACACCTCCACATCAAGGTAGGCGTTTTGATAAAATATTTTTATAAAAGCAGAAATGAAGCTTATAATAGTCTAATAAAAGCAATTGGAATTCAACATGAATACACTAATCTGACTTGGACGCCGTAACATCCACAGGTAGGCCTATAGAATGCATTGTGCAGCACTTGCATACTCTCTGGGATTTCAGAGATCGCAACTCTGTGAACGAAGTGCTGGCTAGAATAACAGTTCGGTGATGGTATTCTGATGATGTTTAAAACAACTTAAACGGATATTTATTTATTTTTTTAAATATAAAATAATATTGTGCATGAAATTAATATGTGGAAATGATCAGTATAGTCAAGCTCAAAATCCATTAATTTGAGTAGCATTAGACTCAGTGTTAAATAAATTGTATTTTCTGACAAGGTCATTGTATCGACCATAGAACATATGAAATGATGACTTAAAACAAGGATGCTGAAAGTCTTGTTTCATCAACTTGTCAGTGCATTGTGCACAATTATTGAATTCAAAGACAAAGTTTACATTTGGGGGGTGGTCCGAAATCATAGATCGAATTCGCACACTGTTCGCTCTTGCAACTTTCATGTTTTAAATTGTCATAGGCTAAAAAGTAATTATAGCATTATTCAGCATGTTTAGATTAGCTATAAGCTATATACATGATATAAGTTGCACCTTGATACAGTGATAATATTCAACCTTGAATTCTGAGTACGATCTATGTCACTGTAAAAATCATCCACAAAATTACGACTCCTTGAGAGACTTTTTAATCAAAGTTCTGAAAGTTTTGCAATCTAATGTAGCGGTAATGATACCCTACCTGCTTACATCATGTACATTCAACAACTAATTGGTTAATTATATAGATGAGAGTCATGAGACAGGTTTTAATGTAGTAGCAGGTTGGTGACCTAGCTCTTCCAATGCTTTTATGTGCTCCTCTGTGAGTTTCTCTCCATCTCTAAAACTCAACTATAATACTGAATCAATACATAATATAATATATTGTGAGAACCTCGCATTTATCTAACTAATTTTACTTACTACTGCTCTTTTACAGGGGAGCCGAGAAAGCTCTAAATCTCTCAAGATTTCAAGATTTCTGGGGCACGACATTGAATTTGTGTACAGTAGTGACAAAGGAATGATAATTATGATTCAAACAATTTTATGCAGAAGGTACAATTCATTGCAAAGGATTGAACTCCAAATAGTAAATTGTCAAATAAGGAAAGTATAGAATATTTTATCGGCTTTAAAATGTGATGATTTTCAATGAAAATTTAATGAAAAGAGTCCGCATAGTTAAAAATATCGTTAAAAATATAACATTTTAGGATCAGCTCCTCTCAAAAATTGATTAGGCTGGTTAAGCGATTGTTTAGTAAGGTATCCCACCAGGATTTTTTACTTATTCTACAATGATCCATCTTGCTTTGTATTCAATTTAGCACAATTGCCCCAATACAAAAGACATTTCCTATACCTCCACCCTGAAAGAGTGTATCAACTACTTTTAGAATGGTTTGCAGAATTTATACCTTTTATACACAAGTAGATAATAATTAGATTGTGGTTTGATGATGTTATATAATGATAATTACACAAAAAATGAAAAAGAGCCATATTGAGAATCATTTAAATTCTTGTATAAATGTATTTGTTGTAGGAGAAAAGTTATATTGTTTGGAAACTTAATTGAATTTAACAGGTAAATTATTGAAATGAATTTCACATAATTTTTTTTGCTGAATTTCCACCACGTCTCAATCAGTTTAGCTGAATCAACATAAAACTTTTGTGTATATAATGCTTGTCCAATATTTATGCTCCAGGAAACTGTTTAACAGGTGGGAGATGGTTATCGTCTGGCCACACAAAGCCTAGGGTCACCAGGTGAAATCAGTTTTCACACCTCGCCTTGAGATGCATGACCTCATTTCTTTCTCTCTGTTGAGAAATAAGCAAAACATTGAACAAAAACTCAGGCCAGATTTTAATTTTTTTCCTGAAGTGACCCCTTTTTATTGTTGTGTTGTCTTTTTTCAGTCTGTTCTAGATATGTTTTGGGATTTCTTTACAACTGATCATTGGATGTGATGAATAGTGGTGACACCTGTTTTTGTTTTGTAAGCAGGTAAGGATTGGCAGATTTCTCATTTGATGTTTGATTGATGTCGCCTGACAGGTAGCCGTCTTTTCTCTGTTTTACCTGTACTGTATTTGTTGTTCCTTTCAATCATGATCAAAAACTGAAAAAACCAGACCCCACAATGGGGCCCTGGTAGTGCACATATCTAAATTTAATTAAACCACACGCTCGCTATAATGAAATGATTGACATTACTAAATACTGGAATTGCAGTGTTTGTTGACATAGATTTTTTTAGGTAAGAGCACATTTTCCCCTTTATTTATGTAACAAATTGACAGCAAAATTGTTTACGTATTTTGCACTGTGCAATTATGTTCCAAACAGCTAGGTATGCTGAACATAGATACATGCATTGTCTGATCTCAGTATTTAAACAAGTAAAAAAATGTTTTCAGTTATCATGGTTATAATGTAAATTAATCTGATAAGTAAACCTTGTTATATTAGGAAGGGGTATGTCATGGCTTATATCAAACCACTATTGATTTTGAACACTAAGCCAGGACATTAGGAGGAAGTCTATTCAGTTGTTTATAGGTCTTGGAATTTCTCCTGTCTCAGAAGCCACTGCTTACAGTTGATTTATTGCTCCAGTCACTTTTGATCAGGGATCACGCAACTTGATATTGTTGTTACTGTGCACAATATATTCCAGGGGTGTAAGCTAGCAGTACGAAATTTGTTAAAATCCTCACGCACAGGGTAATTGTGTGGAAGCAGTCTCTTAGTGTGCATTACCTTGTTTTTCTGTTGTGTTTGTGCATTTGTTCTCATCACAAAATTAGGCCATGTACTGTAAAAAAAAAAAATTATTTGAACATGTTGAAAAGAGGACACTACCGATACTTTATTTGAATTCTCTTTGCAGATAAGTCTGAAGGGCATCAAGGATTGTATGAAGTATCTATATGCTTGAGGAAAATCAGTAAGTAGTTTTTATGCTGTCTTTTGTGTAATTTTTTATTGTTGAAAATCTATAAGAGCTTAATTGGATACATGTAATATTGGCACTTGTTTCATATACAGGATACCCTCTACTTATATTTAAATAAATAATGGGTGTCCTGTATTAATGATATAAGAGACAAGTGGTTGTGATTCATAGTTCTCAGTGAACAATCTAGAAAAGAATTTATTTACAAATATTTACATTTCCAATAAATTTCCCCTATGATTCTTTACAAAATAAAATGCAGTATATTTTCTGTGAACTACATTAGGTATGTATCACGAATCAGCATGAATATCTCCATTGTTACGTCATAATACCGCTCTTGACGTCAAAAAGTCAAAAAATATAGTGCACATTGCTTTGTTTTAAAAATGACAGTTGAACGGCGTAAATTTATGGCAAGTCATCAGAAAAATAATGTAAATATAAGTAATGAATTTAATTTTTTGAAGATTCATGAGGTATATGAACTACAACGCTTCACGCCGGCATATTTATCATGAAACGTTAACGCGCTTCATGAAATATGCCGGCGTGAAGTGTCGTAGTTCGTAACATCATGAATCTTCAGAAATTAAATTCATTTCTTAATAAAAATTTGTGACAAGGGCATAAAACACGGACCCTAGGAAATTCCAGAGGTGGGATCAGGTGCCTAGGAGGAGTAAACATCCCCTGTATCAACTAAAACAAAAAATCATTTGTAAAAAATCCAGTGTACTACATTTATTGTGTTAACGAAATTAGATATGTATATTTTTAAATAATTATGCTATTTAATACCTAGTCTTACAGTTGTAACCTGGCTGGTTATACATTTGTACTCTCATTTAAACATATTTTGTACAGTGTTGAATTGAATTAATACCTTAATAGTATACCAATGAGATTTAATAGCTGTTAGTTTGTATACGTATACCTAATCAAGTTCGCTTGCTTACATTTGGAGTTGTCTTATAAAATGAAGTCTTTAATTCACATGCACTCTTGGTAGGTTACTGGTAGAGTTTCTGTAGATGATTTGTGACTGTTTGTTTATAAGATCATTTAGATGACCTGTTCCTTTATTGACACAATCTGTAAATGTCTAGACTGCTATGTGCACTCTTATCAGAGGTGAAAATTGATTTCAATTTGTAAATATTTGGTTTCCAGGAAAGGGAGATCTTCATTTTCTGACAGATAGCAGAAATGCTCAGGTGATAGTGGTGTTTTTATGCAAGCATTGATTATATGTTAACCGTTGGAGAATCTCTTTCTCTATCTTTCTCTCTCTCTCTGGTTTTGTATTAGTATAATTTTAACTGAAAAAAAATGTGTTCATAATATTGATTTCAGCATTGAATGATCAATGAATGAATTTGTGAAAACTGCTAAGAAAATGAAATCAGATGTAACAGTACATGTTATATACAATTTACTGTAAACCAACTTTTATTTGCGTACAAGAATTAAATCGTGAGTTTTATTGACTTACTTTAAATCACGAATTTTATACCGTGAACCATTTATTTGGCTGTCTATTTGTATAGAGAAATGTTTCCTCATCATTATCATCGCTGACAAATTGCAAATAAAAGATGACATGAATGATAGCTGGTTAACAGTCATCAGGTATTGGTTTTTGGAAAGAAAAAAAAAGTGGGGGGCAGAGGGTGAGAGGATATTGAAAACCTTTGAAATAATGGTGCATATTTATTTTAGAGCTGTCCCACTTTTTGAATGTTTGACCTGGGAATAAAAGCTAGATAGGAAAATACAAACAAAAAGTTATGAATTCTGTATTTTGTTTAAGTCAAAGAAGCAAGTCAGATAGAAGTAATTTTATTTTTAAATTTGACAAAAAAAATAATAGCACTGTCACAAAAAGTCAGATAATGATGACATAGGAGATGGGAAACTGTGATATAATTTCTGTTTTTTAATTTGCCATTTCTCTATAAATTTAAGTGTCTTCCAGTGTGGCGTTTTGTTATCTCTCTTTTTTAACAAGCCAGTGAGAGATTTACAAGGTGATAACACTATATGCCCAGAAGTTCTAATCCGTACAGTATTTTTTGTGTATAGGAGATCTAGTTTTCAGATCTGCAAATGAACTTCATTATAAGATATCTAAGATAGAGTGTATAGAGATAGAACTAAGAAAATTGGTGTTGAATTTTTTTTTTTTTTTTTTTTTTTTTTACAAATTATATGTGTAAAAGGACTTAAATTTATCTGTTGAAGAAAAAAATTGTTTTGGATTTTCTGAAATACGTGCTAAGCTGCCATATTACACATAAGTATTTTTTTTTGGGGGGGGGGGGAGGGGGGGTCATTTGCTAAAATGTGAATTTACACAATGAGGATTGAGGATCAATGATGTAGTACTGTCATAATATGACTAACAGAACTTTTGAATCTGTTCTCTCGAAGTAGTCAATGATAACATTAGTACATGTACTTATGGAAGTGACTTTTATATAAAGTGAAGTGTTTTTCGACTGGAATTAGCAAAACTTTTCTTGTCTTAATATTGTGATATTTTCATAGATTTCTTAATGGACATATTAATATCTGTTAGGTTTAGTAGCAATTTCCTCTTTATCATATATCTCATATTTCAGTAGAGGGATAATTGATACATGTACATGACACATCATGTATCCATCGCTACATCAGATAGAACACTTTCAAGTCCCGAGTACATACTTCCGAAACCAGTAGCTTTTTATCTTTATTCCATGTTTAACAAGTTTTTTGCCCGAAAGTTGAACCCTGAAATAATGTCTGTAGAGATCTCCACTGCTAAGACTCTAAGATAGTGTATATTATGCTTGTCAAGTATATTTTTCGATGATAAATATTTTTTTCAAAACCTTCAAAATTTGCTCAATGCATCTTTGAAAGCAAAGGTTTTACGATCCAAGTACCTTTGTTGGAAACATAAAGTGGAAAATCAAAAAAAAAAAATACTTTCCCTTGCAAAATTTAAGACAGTTTTATCTTCATCATGTAAAAGTATGTTTGGATCTGTGCATGGCTGAATGACTGGACATTGTGAAGAAAAAACACAGCATATGAAGCCTTGAGTCTTTATTAAGTAAGCATGCATCCACAATTTGAACATTCTCAGGATTAACATGTGAAAATGCAGACCTTAAGCAACCAAATTTTGCATTTCAATTTGAGATCCATAGAAACTGCAAAAGTCAAAAAATTACCCCGAATCATGGAAATTCGAAACCAATTTGATATACATTTACAAATTTACGTGTCAGGGTACAGAGATTTTTTCAATTGGTTAAACCCCCCCTTATTTATGGCCCCATTAGGCATCATTTACAGAGGTAAAAGAGGTGATAATGGGATATAATTAGCTTGGGAAAGGTCCTCTGGTTTCCTGTCCTAGATGAGCTCGTAACCAATCAACCCAGGACACACACTCAGAGTAAATGGACGGCCGCGGGGATTTTATGTGTCAAGTGGACAGAGAAACTATATCTTAGGTTTGTAAGTGGGTAGTTTTTATTCCAATGTCCAGTAAGGAAGTTTATTTAAGGGTATTCTTAATCATTTGTTACATAGAATTTATATTAAGACGTAAGATTAGACAGTTGAGGTTTAGTGCAATATGTTCTGTATCTAGATGCTCTGTGATTTGCATGAAAATTCATTGTTCTGTTTCATATATGATTTTTATTCACGTTGACTCTTCTTTAACATGTTCAAACAGTATTTGTTACAGTAGTTTGAGCGTGTTAAAGAAGCATCAGCTTGAATAAAAATCATATATGAAACAGTATTTGTAGTTTAACAATTAAAAGTGTATGTTGAGTCTAGAACAGATAGGATATAATAATTATATATAAAACAACTTGGACATTAGCTAGAACATGAAAAAACTATAAAATGTGACTGTGTTACATGTACTAAATAAATCATAGAGTGAAAATTATAAATCAGTTACAAATATTCACTAATTTGGGTGCATATTTTTGTTGAATAACTAGAACTATTTTATTGTTAAATTATGCGAGTACATTTTATTATGTCAATACATTTAATTTATGATACACATGAACTTGCATACTTGAACCATACTATAATTACAGATACATTATTTATGCTTCTAGATGAATGTACCAGTACGTACTTGACAATTTATCTTGACACAATAAAGAGCCAGTAATAATTCCTGTTTGTTTCATCAGCTGATGGGTGAGATTCAAGTACCCCATCCTTATATTTATAATCGTGCATTAGAGAATCGTGAAGTACTTGTACGAGTTCGCGTGGCTAATTTAAAGTGTGTTACAAATGGGGTGATGGAGATGAAACTTGGTACTATGGCGCACCATGTCAGTAATTCTTTTTATAGATGATATGAGTAAAGTTGTGGTTTAAGGAAGCCTATATTGTTTTGTTTGTTTGATGAACAGTTAAAATTTAAGGGCCACTCGCAGTGTTTTCTACTCAATAACATGAGTATATATTACAAAAATACTCTCGATGGAAATGCAGTTTCAAGTGTCATTAACTGGAAGTGAGCAATGAATGAATTTATCAGATTTTAATATTATATGAATTGATTTTAATGCATTAACTAGTTTAGCTCTTTTTTGGACCAACTTTATTTTCATTTTAGTTTTAATATGGAATTGTTAGTGTAAAGAATTAAACAACAGGTTCTGCACCTTTAGTTGACAATTAGCTTCAACTTTAAGAAATATATTATAATCCCCCCCCCCCTCCCCCCCAAAAAAAAATCCACGATAATCTGGTATAACTTAGATCTATAAAAGTATTTTAAAGTCCTATAGCATACAATGAGTCGATACAGCCCCAACATAAATATAAAGAGAGGGTATCTTTTTTTTATCAGAGTAAACAATATTTTGCATATAGACAATTTTTTAATCCTTAACACAGCCAGGAAATTTATCAAGAATACAATGAACTTCTATGACACAATTTTAAGTCAGGTATACTTAAAGATTACACATCCTAGAGTTAATGACCTATTATCTTTTTGTTGATAAATTTCTTGTGTACACACTGAATTTGTGATATCATTAATTACCAGAGATACTGCATGAGTAGACATTGTCAGTGTGTTTGTATAGAGCTAGAGTGGGGGTATGTCTGAGGCTTCATATTTAATCATTATTCATAATTGGATGATGTTACTAGTGTGAAATGAGTTTCTCCTTTTAATATAGGTAAGAGAATGTACTGAAAAGCAGTTTGCTGCATCTTTTATCACTGCATGTAGTCTGTGAATCTACGTTTAAGGACAATTACTGTAAATGATTATATTTAGCGTGTATGATATTTGGGGGAAATTGACTTTTGAATAAGTTAGCGTAGATTTGATTTATCGCAGTTCTTCATATTCTTATTCATGTGTGTTTGTGCAAGACAATTTTAGCGTTGTACTTGATTTAGCTGTTGCCGCGTCCCGCCAAAGCCGCTAAAAAGAATACACCTCCAAATGTAATACGTTAACAGTAATTTAATTATTAAATGTATAGAGATTCCATTTTGATGATAGGGTGTTGAAAATTTCTGTCTTGATTGATGTGTGTGTACTAGGAAAGGAGAAATCGTATGGCTGGACAGGGAATCGAACCGAAGGCCCCCACATCTCTAGTTAGGTGCCCTACCACTGATCAGGTGTCTTTGTCTTGCTTTTTCATCAGCAAAATTAAACTTGTTTTGCTTTGCAGTGATCTTAAAATATTTGATCTTTTCTGTGTATATAATGAAAGTGTACATGTGTATCTTTTTATCTAATGTCATATACATGCATAACTGTGCCTCTGAACAGCTCAGGAATAATGTATGTGGTATGGTACTTTCTTTCAAAGATCAGTTGATTGTCTTTTGACTGTATAGCATTATAATACAGTAGGTAGATGGCATGGTCCATCACTTATGAATGATAAGAAATTCTAAATCATTTTGAAGATCTTTGCTGCATATCACTGTTAGCTGTTAACCTTGTGGGGCTTATCGCTGGCTGAGTCACCCTCTGTATGAGAGCTATAGCTCCCTCATGATTTGTCATAATCCCCCATAGTTATTTTAGTAGCTTCTGTCTGTTCGAGCTAGAAGGTACCACTTGAAATCTACTTCATAATTAAGACAATTTATTTCAAGTGAATCCAGGGTGAACCTTATGCATTTGGTATGATGTTTTAGTGCACAATAATTGTCATAGAAAGGGGATTACTGTGCTGGAACTTGTGCTGGAACTTTTTAGAAGTTTGCATTAGTTTTGTGAGTATATATAATGTTTTAAAAATGATAATGATGCTGCACATCTATCCCTTAAATTTTGTAAGGTGGAGTATTTAGTATAATGCAATTGGAAACTAGGGTTTAGCTTGAAGTGGAACATTAACGTAGACCATGCAATAGCTTTGACCATTATAGACATTACAAACGTTGCTTAATTATTGATCTTTCAGAAAAGCTTATCTAATCATATTTCTCAGATTTTAATAATTTCAAGACATATGATATTCAAAAATGCAATGAATACTTATGAGATTTATCCAGAGCTGTGGCTTAACCACTCTGATATACAAGACAATTTTCTCAATGTGACATACCAGTTTTTGCATACAATACTTGTCTTTCTAACACATTTAGAGTCTGGAGGCATGTGTGTATCTGTTACCTATAACCATCTGGCTGTTAGACTTGATCTATCTCTCTGTCTATACTGAGGGAGCTGCATATTAAGTCATTGTTTTTGTAATTTTGGAGGATACAGTCTCCCCGGGGGTCTCGAGCCGGCATCCTCGTATTCTGAGAGATCCTGAAATCCCCACCGGGACATAATGCACACAAGAATTACAACATCTGTTTCTCATATCTCCTCTCACTGGGAGAAAAATTACAAAGAAGTTCAGGAATCCTATTGATTTTTGCTTGGTAATATATTCAAATATAGGTAATATTCTTGTATATATAATCTATACCATGGCTAAGTTAGGAATTTTTTGGTCAATATCTGTGTATGTCCTGCTGTTTTTCATGTCTGTATTGTCATTCAACTTCAAGTGGACACCTGCATGCAAAATCATTAAGCAAATCTTTATCTTGAACTTCTGTAAGAAGCATATAGTACCGTAAATCTGGAAATTTTTACGTCGATTTTATTTTGCGAATTTGGGTCAAAATGCTGTTGATTAATTATTACGTACCAAAATTTTGCGAATGACCTCAGTGCTTTGTTCACATTTACTTATTGGTAATTTATTTTCAAGAAAAATATTTTTGCGAATGCAATGAACTCGCAAAATTGCTAAAAATTTATCTACAGCAAAAATTTCCAGATTTACGGTACTTCATTCTTGCATAACCTGCAAGTATCCATGTACTATAATCATAATCATTTTAAAGTAGTACATTTGAAATTTTATCACAGATCCCTTCAACAACTGAATTAGCGTTTATAATATTGATAATAAATAAGCAAATTTGGAGCAAATTACAAGCTTATAGTTCTATCCCCCCAAATTTGTTTCTAGATCATAAAGTGAGTGTGTACTAGGGGTAAGAAGCAGTGTAAAAATGCTCATTGAAAATATGAATACCTGCGGTATGTTAATTTACATGATATATGTAATGCAGTCTTAGTACTAAAATATTTGTGTCACTGTTGACTATCCATGGCTTTAAAAGTTTTGAAAGTAAAAGTGTGAGAATAAGCATTACCCTAAAAAAACATAAATAGCTTATGTTTCCCTTCAAATGTCAGAAAGTTGAGTCATAAAAATCATTTTTTGTGTATTCAAACAAAATAGATCTCTGAAATGGAAAGATGCACAGATGTTATAAGGGACAAATCTGTTCAGTGTTAAATTGTATTCTTGGATCTGACGTAAAAGTAGTAAATAAACTTCACTGTCATTTTCCTTCACTGAGAAAATATACAGTTATTTACGATTATTCATATATGTTTCATATCAAATTTATTATTAGTGTGTTTAAAACTAATAAAATCACACATTAATCATTTATCTTAATTAATTTCCCAAGTTTCCGTGAAATTATAATCCTTAAAAAATTGAATTGATGCTGTACTTGTGAAAGTAAGATTTGAACAAGGAAATTTTTTAGCTTTAAAAGCTTACAGTTTTTACGTAATAAATAAATTTGAGTCTGAACTTTGCCATTAAGAACAACAATTTGCCAGATGTTTCTTGCAGTGATAAAAAAGAAGAAAAATTCCTGTATCATGCCATGGCAATTTTTTTCTGATTTAATGTAAAATACACCTGGATTGAAAAGCTGCATGGCTTCATGTTACGATATAAAAATCTTCAGTTTAATATATAGATATAAGAACATAAAACTGCAGGTACATTGTCATCAAATACATATAACTTTAAATACTATAAATATTGGAACATTTTTTTTTTTTTTTTTACCTGAAATGACCTTGATTGTTAGTGCATGATAATAAGAATCCAAGCAGGATGTTTGAGAATGTAACCTTACCAGGCCCCAGATGTGATGATATTTAATTCAGGACATAAATGTATATACCTCAGATTCATTCTTTGAGAGTTCTAGGCCTAAGTCATGGTAAATATTAGGTCATATTTATATATGCAAACGAGGGCACCCTAGCTAATAGCATCCATGATAAACTTTCTTAGAGGGAGATTACCCTGACCTCAAGTGTATAATAATTAACTCATTACTCAGAACATAAACATGATAGAGGATATGGTTAACTGTTTGTAAAATGTCTGATGTCCAGACAAATACCAGAGTGTATACTGAGGTCGTCAGTCGAGACTAACCAGTGTGTAATATAGTAGTACGTACATCTACATATAATGAATAATGAGAGGTCAGATCGGTCAAATTGACCATGGATTTCTGAGTACACCTTAAAATACCAAACAGACATTGTCAGTTATTATAAGTGGTCTCAGGAGTTGTTTTTGAGTATGTGGCTTTTAGAAAGCTTATTTATACATGTCAGGGTAAAATTGATTGGTTCGTAAACACCTGCAAACATGTCAGTAAATGTGAAGTGCATTACTGTTCATTGCATGTTACTGGGGGTTATAGGGTATGAGTGATGTAAGCAATAATTATATGGGTTGAAAATTGCATTGTTCAAAATCAAGGCCATGATAATGTGTAGAATGACTATATAGTCTGTTTGAACATCAGCTTATGAAATTGAAGAAAACAGAAAGATAACAGAGTGTGACTGTCTAAAAAATGTATATTTATTGTGATTTTGTTTCAGATCATCACATTTTGATGTTAATTTGAAAGAAAATAACTATAGTTAAATTAAATGCCATTGCATTGAACATAACACAAAGAAAAACAAAATATTTGTGAAAAAAAAAATCCCAACTTTCATGCCTAGCTTATATGTGTTGGGAAAATTATTGAGGCATATTTGGTCAATTTTATAAAAGAAAAAAAAATCTCGATATACTTGCAAATGCGTTGAATGGTATTTGTTATATAAAATAATAACAGATATTTTACATGCATGCCTTTAGGTAAATACACTTTCAATAGGTATAAAACTAAGCTTCCACAGCTTATATCACAGGTTGATCAATACAATACTTTATCCCTGACCAGAGGAGATCAGGCCTCGGGTTTCAGCGTTTTAAAAAAATCCAATAAATGGGATGGAAATTGATAAGTTTGTGTCGGAATATTTGCAGGTGTCCTGAAACCATCAACCACATTATCCATCTCATACAAGACAATTCCTGTCTAACAGGGAATCGTCTATAGGATCTAGTAGGAAATAACAGGAAGATCACTGATCCTTCAACTGTCCCGGTAAGTATTAATAAGAAATGTATACTGTGTTCCTTTTTTTGGTCATTAAGAAGAGCAACAGTTCGAAATAATTATAAAGTGTTCCCATGTTTTAATTGATGTGCAACTTCACACATCATAAACAACGAAGTAAGACAATGAAGGGTTGTCCAATCAAATGAAGGCTCACGCAACATAATTTTGAACTTTATTTTTACATTCCCTGTATAATTTTTTGAGTTCTAGCTGCCAATTGTAATTGAAGACTTTTTGACAACTTTATATGATGCCTGGTAATGCTGAATATAATGCTCATACATGTATGAAAGAAATTTTTAGGAAGCACCAGCTGAAAATTATTTTTTTTGCTAATTTTTCCTTAAAGAAAGCAGGGATTTTCATCATTTGTAATCTGTCCAGAAATGTTGTATTTTCTCTTGGAACATCTGTCACTGTTTTATGATTTTAGTTAATTTAAGAATTATTTGAGGAAAAATCTTTAGGAATTGCCAGTATATTGTTAAGTATATGTACATGCATGTACTTATATGTTGCCTATGCACCTGTGTGCGACCACAGTGGATATTTTGCAATTTGTCCCCTTAAAAAATATGTACCAGAATTGCTTCCTTGATGATGGTCATTTCATTAACTGTATGCTAATTGTGAGGTTGAGACAAGGAAGAGATCCTAGTTTTCAAATGAAGAACAATAAATCCTTTCTGTGTGGTTTATTCTCTAGATTTCCTCAATCAGTTCCTGCACCTGCCTGCACAGCAGGACATTTTTTTGCCCTAATGGAGGCGTTGATTAATTTGTTTTTGAAGATAATGACATTTCTTTTAAAGACACTAATGAAAAAGGTCAGTCTATTTGCTTCAGTGTTTCATGACATTTCAGCTACTAGGTCTTTAATTAAGTGCCTGATGACAGCATGGCATCCATGTGGAGGGGGTTTGGGTTAAAATTTTTATTATGGTTCATGATCACTGATGCTCACAAATTCACAAGATTAGATTCCTTATCAAACAGTTTGTAAACGCTTTCAAGTGTCAAGAGTGAGTAAAATTCAGATCTTTATGTATAGTCATTTGGAGGATCATTTTATCGCACATACATCTAGAATTTTGTCCATTTGCCTATTATCATTTGATCAGTATGGTAAATAGTATCAGACACCCAAGAGGTTATATCTAATCAATATACACTGGAACACACTACCACAGTGTGTTTGGTTAGCTTTTCTTGCTTCTCAAATACAGAATTCGAGGTCATCCTTTCATTCCTTTAGATAGTCTGAGTGTATACTCCCGATATAAAATCTAGTAATCATATTTATTACAGAGACCCTTATCACTGGGGGATGAGTCATTTGTTGAGAATAACAGAATTCACATTTTCTAAGAGGTCAGAAAAAGATGGAGGAATTATTGACTAATTATAAGATATCATATGACAGAAATATGCTGGAAATGACTTACTGAAAGTAAATCAGGACTATCAAGATAGGATAACCAGATAGCTTAGTGTGGGATTAACAAAAAGGTTATAAAGTTTCTCTACACAGGGGAGATGATAATAATATATAAATTAATGCAAGGAATTCTTTGTGATTAACTGAAAGGTATACCATGAATGCAATCAGATAGGAAACCTGCAATTGTAATCAATCATTCATTTAATTAAACAGGCAAAATCCACCTGTGTTTAATTTTTTAAAAAAGTTTAAAAGTTATCTTCAGTGTTGACTTAAAAATATCATTACAGGAACATGATGATATTGTGCATATTATAATTCTATGCAGAGTCTTTAATTGAGAGTGTCAGATTCTCATAGGGTTGTTTATGTTATAGAAATGAATTGCTGTAAGAATTTTAACAGTATATTAATGTTTGCAATTTGATAGCTAGGTTACATTCTTTTTATGTTGGAAATTGTGCTATTATACAATGTTGTTTCATTAAGAAAATGAACTCAAAAAATGCATTTCTGAATCTGCATTAAAGCTCTTAATTTCTACTGGAGCATGCATGTTTTATAGGAATGTAATAGTCGGTAAAAGAAAATAAAAACACAACAGTAAAGTATTTAAGCTGTCAAAGGCTGTTGGATAAAATTGTCCAATTTCCCTCAGCTTTTCATTCAAGCATTTTGAGATTTAAAATATTATTTACACAACTTCTTTGTGACTGGAAGAGATGATTACAGGGGGTTATGACTCAGAATCTCATGACAATCTGAAAATCTTTGTCAACTTGATCAAAGTCATTAATTCTCCATTACTCTCTGTTGACTTACTCTATTTTCTTGTTTTCTCTTCTATTGCAGAACAGGAAAGGAACTCTTGATAGCTGAGGGGGACTTTAGAAGATTAGTCTTTGTGTGCAACTGTTGACATTTATAGATGATTGAATAAGGTTTGTGTAATATTTGATATCAGATCTTTCAAAGCTGTAAGTTACTGTGCAGTTTGAGACTAAGTGGGTTACAAGGGGGATATAGTCATCTGATCAACACCCTGATCCTCAACCCACCCACCCCCCTCCCTCAATTCTTAAGAGTTTCATTTTTCTAGATTAATGGTTTGTCAACAGTAGTCTAGTTTATCTCGAACACCTGAGCCCTTAAATTCTATAGGCAAAATAATGTATTTATAGGACTGACTTAACAATTGTTTTATCATTAAAACAAGGCCAAACAAAGTGATTAGAGAAACTTGGACTAGCGAGGTAGAAAGTCTTTATCCATGCAGGACAAATATTATCTAAGACAAAAAATTTATATCTTAATCTGACATTGATGTATGTAAAAGTAATGTTTGGATGTTAATTCTAAAGAAAATTTAGGACAAATATTGTGTCTTAAAAGTACGTAAACAAAATTGTTCTCAGACAGTTAGGCTATTTGGACTTGGAAAGTAGCGTTTTAGCAGAGATTTGTCAATACATTATACTGAATGAGGGAGTGTTGATAGATTCATTCATTCATTACTGTCATTATGACAACATTATGTAATAAAACCATTTCTTTTGTGATTCGGTCAATGGCATTCCCTATTGAATATTCATGAGTTACGATCCCCACTGACAGCCAATATACATTTACACCTGTGTCGCAATTAACACCTACTACCAAGGAGTAGAGGTGTTTTAAATTACGACTTTCGTTTTTGAAATCGGCCTGTCGTTAGTCACAGAAATTCATTCACCTACAAGATAAACGGATTAAAAGCTACTGATAGTTTCTCTCCTGTAGGTGGAGAAGAGATAAATTGTAAAGGAGGACTTCTGTGTAAGAAAAAGAACATTTCAATTTATTTCTATAAAGCTGTCTTTTATACTGTTTTTCAGTTTGTGGATTTATGTGTAGATGTGTCTTATCCAGGGTGTTGGATCAACGATAAGGAGAAAATAAAAGACAGAAGAGAAAAATAATAGAGGATTGAACACTGTTGAAGAAAGTTTATTTGTTGGATTCTGTGTAAATAGAGATGCAGGTACGTAATTATGTAAATTAATGTAATTTGTTTGGTACATATATACAGTACGTATTATTTTTATCATATTTTGTTTCATGGAATTTTTTCATGTATTCGGTTAGTTTTCGAGACCTCAGAATGATGTAGGAAAAAGAATTAGCATATTCATGTGTATATGTTTTGTTATTCATAACATACATCCAGTTAATTTTATTTTCTTTCTGTTGAGACCACCAGAACTGTGGTTTTTACTTCATTCCTAAAAGTAGTATTTTTTGTAAATGTACTCACATCAAGAGAAGGATGTCATTTTTTTCCATAATTTATTAACTTCACCATAATTAAGTTGTCATGTACAACGTACAAAATGTTGTCCTCCATATATAGTTTACTGTTAATGAAACACACCTTTATTGGAACAGTTTATGATTTTCATTTCATTTAGGATTTTTTTTGGCACAGAAGAAATTAGGTGTGTAACATATATCTGTATGTAGGCGTGCAGTAATATGCACATAATGCAGGGAAACGTTTAAAAACACTCCACTATTTACTCTGTGGGTAAGGTCAGCTGTTAATGTGCATAAGTAAATTCCAATATAGGTGTATTAATCCACTCCTCGGTGGACCTTTAAAATATGGATATAGATTAATTGGTCAAGAGCTCTCAATATATGGCCCGTATGTCTTTCACTGCTCCACAGTGGCTAGTTAATATATAGACAATGATACCTGCACTGCGTATTCTAAAGCTGGTGATATTAGGCTGAGCTGAACGCGTTTTGTTTGTGGTGTTAAGTCAGTATTGTATGGAGCTTCTTGAATTCTGCTTTGTTCCTTTGTATATTCAGAGAGGATTTTAAGGTTAGATGGTTTGTTAAGATTAGTCTTTTTTTTTTTCTTTTTTTTTTAGATTGTTTCCTTTTGTTTTGTTTGGAATACATTGTACAAGCCTAGATGATTTGTGATTTTTTTTCTCTTTTATTTATATGTAGAAGTAAGTGAAGTAGTTCTGCATACACTTTGCAGTATTTTTTGAACCAATGATTTATTTTTTCATAAATCTATTTAAAGCACAATAGATTGCATTGCTATCTTTTGTTAGTATCAGGTGTTATATAAACATTTTCGTTTTAGTCTGTGCCCGTGGTATATAGTTTTGATTGACATGTTTGAAATGTTTGTTATTCCATTTAAAAAGGTTAATTGGCATGTTGATATCAATTATGCACTTATTAAATGGCTTTTGTACGATCCATTCATAATAAACAGTGCTGTTAGCTACCTGAATAATTATCTATTAATTGGCCTATGTCCAGTACGAGTTAATTAGTGTACATAAGTTTACATGTACAGTGTTATGGAGACAGCTCTGTTAATTTTTGGTCAATGGGCAATAATGCGGTGATTTACAATGACTGGTCAGACATACGTTTATAAGTATTAGTGCTGATTGACCCCTATGTTATTCAGTCAGAGAGGTGGTGTGACTATCAAGGTAATGTTTTTTTCTTTTACAAAGATCTCTGAATCTAGCTATTAAATTCAAGTTGATTAATATTATCTCACTTATGTGCATATCAAGGGTTTCCAAAGAGATTTTTGTCATTCAATCATTTCTGTATTAATTTGTAATAATAAATTTAAATGACTTTTAAATTTATGTATTTTTTCAATCTTCTTTTTTGTTGTAACTTTAAGAGATATTTATATATTTAAAGAATTCTCTAAAAAAAAAAAAAGCATATATCTGTTTATTGGAAGATGATTGAAAAAAAAAAACAAATTATAGTCAAACCTCATTATATCAATGGGACCAAGAAAAAATTGAGGGTTTGAGATATCCAGGGTAAAATAAAAATTAAGGAATTAGTAATTAGGACTTCAAAGTGACTATGACATATCCATGGTATTTGAGATACTGAAGTTCTGTCAAGTTCAACTGTACTTATCTCGTGTATGTTTTGCATTAGTGTATTAGGACATAGTAAGTTAAATAATAAGATACTGCATATGTCATTATTATCAGTATCTGTGACATTGTTTGCCATAAATAAGACAGGTACCTAGTGCTATTAGAATAACTGGAAGTGACTTTTATTTCTGTGCAGCGTCAATCAAAGAGAAAAAACATGTGAAGTGTACTATACATCATGCAATACTGTGTTTGAGACTTACCTAGGTTGATGTATGACAGTCATAAATGTTGCATTGAACTAGAAATGCAACCATAGAACATGTAGAATGACTGAAGTGAGAAAGTATTATCTTGTTTGGTAATTGGAGAAGGGTGGGAGATTGCAGAATTGTACACAATCATGCATTCTTATAGACATTTGTTTTTCATAATCTTCTGTATTGACATTTTTGATGTTTCCACTGTTATATAATTTTTGTCATTGTTGTCATATTGTATGGATTTTTCACATAGTGACAGATGAATTAATGACAACAATTGCAATTTGGAAAAATGACTTTAATTTACAGACTGCATGCCATGATGCATCAGAGTCAAGAGAACCTGAAAGATAGAAGTCAGATAATTGTTACGTAATCACACATGGTGGGTGCGTTTCTGTCCGCTCACAATTATAATTCTTCTTTTCCTTAATGCCTTTTGCTTCATTTTGACATTTTATACATGTAATGATGTGTAGAGTTATGAGAAGAAATTATAAAACCTTATTATTATTTCTTTAATTAAAAAAAATTCAGCTTAATCTAGCCCATGTAAAATTTGTGACATATGGAATCCTAAAGTAATACATGTACTGGAATTGTAGACAGGACGTAAATGCTTTAATTAAATGAACATTAAAATTGAAATAATTGAAAATTTCAAAGGTCTGTAATGATTTAGCTTAAATCTTAGGTTAACTAAAGAATTTTTTTCTGTGCTTTTTTTTACCTTCCTTATCTTTCCAAATTAAACCTTTAATTTGTCTATTATCAGCAATCAGTAGGGTTCCTACTTTCTAAAGTCTGTCTAGCGTAATGTTTTGACATCGAGAAGCAAGAAATCGCTGTAGGTGCACATTCTCTGATGCATGTTTTGGTGCAATTAAGACCCGATGGTGATATGGCTGCACGCCAGTCATCCATATGAATTAAACTGTGAATGGTTGTTGCCAAGATGCTGTGTCAGACGGAATGTCATACAGACTTGATTTCAAACCTCTTACTACACGGACAGGTAAATGGCAATAAATTCACAGGACTCATTGTTGACAGACTGATGATATTCTTATAAAGTATGTACAAAAGATGTGTAATGCTTTTGATCTTTATTACACAGACTTCAGGTTACTCTGAAAATGTGCAGCAATCATTTCTACCAGGTACATTGTGTATGACGTTACGCAAAATTGCGGGCATTATGTACCCAGATGTGGAATTTTTCTGAATGTGATTCTGTTGAACATATTGGAACTGGGAGAATTTTCTTTAAATGCTGCAGCTTTGGATCCATTGTGAGTTTGGAAACTTGTGGATGTTAAATTATCAGACTTTGTGTGTGTCTAATTACCTTGAAACTGGTGCCAGCAAAAATTTGAAGTTTGCATTTTTCTGGTTGAGTCAGTTAATTATTGAAATGTGCATGTAATCTTTGTCTTTGAGTAAATCTTTTTTTATGGTAAAGAAAATCTGAATTCAAAGAAATTCTTTTTAAAGCTTGTTAACCTCTTGTGAAGATTAAAAGACAATTATTTAGCTCTCAGAGACCATGAATTAATTGTTCCAATTTCTATTAATTACCTTGAGAAATTGGTAATGAGTACCAGCATATTTTATTTTTAGCAAGCAGAAATTTAGACTACTTTCAGTTTGGATATACGCTTTTGCATGTATAAATGTTTTTAATTATAATTTTATTTGAAAATTTCAATATAACAGAATGAATTTATCGGTTCATGTCTTTGATTTTATTAGTTTTTAATGAGTCTCAGAGAATATGAAAGTTATGTTTCAAGTGATATCCCTTATAAGGTTACATATTGAATTTTTCAGCTTTTGAACTGGATATCAATTTTTTTAAAATTCGAGTTTGATCAATTTTTGTGATAATTTTGAGATTTCAGTACATTGTTGAGTCATATACACCCTGTCTGGATTTGCACAATAACTCTGTACCTTTATTGTCATGTTATGATCAATAAACGAGGTGCGGATTTTACATCTGTCTGGGTCAGTTGGTGCATGTATATTGGCATGTAATGTTTTGTAAGGGCTGCATTATATTTTTCTAAATAGAGAGGATATAAAGTTACTTGACATTTAGGTAATTTAGGTAATAAGGAAGTTTTTGGCTCCCACTGAATTGATAAAAAGTGGGTCAGTTTAGTTCACTGACACTTCTTCATTTGAAAAGGATGATATATTGGACTAGGTGTACATGTATTATATATGCAAGTACTTTTGTTATTGGGTACTCATGAATGACTGTCTCACTGTTTAGTATATTGCATAGTATATACAATACAGTGTACTTTATTTTGATTCAATCTCGGGAAGTTGTAGCTGCCACTAGTTGGTACAGCTCAGTATATATGCATGTATCATTTCTACTTTGTCTTGGTTCTGGATTGGTAAATATATTTACATGTACAGAGATATGACAGTTAAAATACTTTATGGTTCAATCACTGTTTACTTAATAATCTTGTGGTGGGAAATAATATCTTTTTGTGCAAGAGAACTTTTTTTTTAAGCTCAATTACACTAGAATGTCTGCTCGCAAAAATGTTATTTTTGTCTATATCTTTATTCTTATAGATTATTTAGAACAATAACCAGAAATTGTGTTTGATGTTACTCATGTTATTGAGTGTTAACTTATTTAATAAACAAATTGACATGTACAATGGCAGTCAGGAGATTTACTTGATGTCTCATGAGGACAATGGAAGACGTTCTTGAGTTTTGGAGAAATACAGCATTTTATTAATGTATTGATCATATATAAATGCGTAAAAAATTACATCCTGTTTTCTTATTTCAGTTTGACTGAAGATCATAACCAGTGGAAGATTCACATTTCTATGAAGAATCGGATGAAAGTTCTGTGATCGGCCATCATGAGCACGAATTCTTTTGGGGCCCCTCGAGCGATGCCCCCCGCTACACCCAGTCAAACTTACGAGACAATAATGCCCTCCACGGAGGGGATCAACACCACCACTCCAGGGGAACGAGTGATCGCCCGCCCTCGAACTTGTGATGAGATTAGTGCTGAGTATGACATTGCGTTAGCTGTGATTTGTTCCATGTGTTTCATTTTTGGAATCGTGTATACATTTTTTGGTGAGTTTAATTTTCTTTTTTTTTCACATAAAACTATCTTGAGAGAAAATTTGTGTAGTCATGAAGAAGCTGTTACATAAAAATTTTGTGATATATGATATACAAAGGTGAATCATGGAAAGTCTTAAATCTGTCATATTTTTTTTATTTTAATTGATGAAAAATGTTCTTAGAAATTTGTACAGAGAAAAAATACATATCTGTAAACAAATTGGATGTACAGTATGTCCCACAGGTTTTTCTGGTAGAAGATTTCACACTTGGAATATTGAAATGCTTGTTTTACAGGCATTTTATGGTTTTGTTTGAAAAAAATGTGTATATCATATTTATTTTCACTGATTTAATGCAAATGTCAAAGTCGAAATTTCTGTAAGTTACTTTAGCCTTAAAAATATACCCATTTTTGCAATTTGAAATATATTAAAATATATATTCCTAATGGTAAATAGTTATTTATTGCCAATATAAATCACATGTAATGTTTTTAAACTCTGCGTTGATCTATGAAATGATTTGAAATGCTTTATTTTCCAGGGTACCGTTTCTTCAAGGCCGTAATGTTCCTGACCGGCTTCATCTTCACATCCGTCCTCGCATACCTGATTCTTTCCCAGCATTCCCTACTACCCATGGAGGGAAACATTGGCGTGGCCCTGGGGGCGGGGCTACTAATCGGACTTGTGACAATGTTAGTGCAGTATGTGGGACTTTTCTTCACAGGATTTCAGCTGGGAGCAGCTCTAGGTGTCGTGAGTCTCATCATTGTGGACTTCTTTGTCATTATCCCTATCCACTGGATCAGGATAGGGGTGATCTGTGGACTAGGTCTAGTGTGTGCAATAGTGACCCTAAAATTCCAGAAGGGGGGTATGATTCTGGGGACCAGTGTGTTTGGTGGGGCCCTGATGGTGGCCTGCCTGGATTATTTTATAGAACAGTTTGCCATGGTGACGTTTGTATGGGGACAGGTGACAGGGGTGTCCTCAGGACTTGTGTGCTGGTATTCGTGGGTGCTGCTGGGCTGCTGGCCGTTCTGTTTCCTGGTGGGGGCCGTGACTCAGTGGAGGATAACGGGACAGGGATACGACCATAATGAAGGTAAGGGGGTCAGAGTGGGGCACATCATACATAAAATAGGAAGAAAAAGGGACAGGGTGAGACACATGCATAAAATAGGAAGATAGCGAACAATGATCGGACTTAAAAGTCCATTGACATAAGCAAATTGGGAGCAGAGTTGACAATAACAAACAATATTCAGGCTGAAAATTACATTGGGGGCAGAGCAGGTACAGGACTCTTAAAAACACCAGAGATGGAATCAGGTGCCATTGAGGGGTATGTATCTCCTGTTGACTTATTTCACTGTATGCTCATTGGTAGATTATTTACATGTTTACAGTTTTACAAGCCAATGCACAGAGATGGAAGATATGTTTTCTTTGGTGTAAATCTACTGGTAATTTCTGTAATTTCAAATGGGATTGATCAAAATTCATGTTTTTGCAACAGACTGAAAAGCATGTAAAAAAAGCTTTAAATGGTAGTAGTTTAAGAGAACTTAAAGGTAAAGTGTCAATCACAATGTGTAACAGCTTTCTCCTTTCATTACCTGAAAGCAGATGAAGAAATTGATCTGTAGTGGTTTGCTAACAAATGAATCATTTATTGATTATGTTAAAAAATTACATCAGTCATTCAGTACATGTACATGAATACACTGTCTGCAGGCATAAACATATGTTGCTGGCGCAATTCATTAATAATTTGACACCTTTTTGTACTTTCACAGTTTCACTTTTTAAAATTAATAAAATTTGAATATAATTCAGGGATGTTCCTAAGAATTTAGATAGCAGGGGATAATAGGAATTCTGGGGTTTCTACCCTTGAAAGGATTGTGGGGAAATACCAGAATACCTGGGGTATGAAATCATTATAGGAGGGGAAATTCCCTGGCTACAGGTCTTATAGATGAGCCTGAATATGTCAATGTTTTTTTTTTCAAGGTGATCATTCTTTATAAAAGTTTCCTTTAAATATGACAGTGCTTTCTTTGTAATTTTTCAGTTCTTTGTAATTTTTCAGTTCTGTGTAATTTTTCAGTTCTGCCCAGTAAGAGAGTTAAGAAAGCCAATCTCCACCAGGCGAGGAAAAAAGAGCGAGTGGACAGTCAACACACGAGATACAGACACCTGTACCAGGCTCGCCGAGCTCCCGGTGATGTTCTATCTCAGGTGAGTAGACAGCCAGCACACGAGATACAGGCACCTGTACCAGGCTCGCCGAGCTCCCAGAGACATTCTATCTCAGGTGAGTAGACAGCACACTTAATACAGGAACCTGTACCAGGCTCGACGAGCTCCCAGTGATGTTCTATCTCGGGTGAGTAGACAGTCAGCACACGAGATACAGGCACCTGTACCAGGCTCGCAGAGCTCCCGATGACGTTCTATCTCAGGTGAGTAGACAGTCAGCACACGAGATACAGGCACCTGTACCAGGCTCGACGTGCTCCCGGTGACGTTTTATCTCAGGTGAGTAGACAGTCAGCACATGAGATACAGGCACCTGTACCAGGCTCGCCGAGCTCCCGATGACGTTCTATCTCAGGTGAGTAGACAGTCAGCACACTTGATACAGGCACCTGTACCAGGCTCGCCGAGCTCCCAGTGACGTTCTATCTCAGGTGAGTAGACAGTCAGCACACTTAATACAGGCACCTGTACCAGGCTCGACGTGCTCCCAGTGACGTTTTATCTCAGGTGAGTAGACAGTCAGCACATGAGATACAGGCACCTGTACCAGGCTCGCAGAGCTCCCGATGACGTTCTATCTCAGGTGAGTAGACAGTCAGCACACGAGATACAGGCACCTGTACCAGGCTCGCCGAGCTCCCGGTGATGTTCTATCTCAGGTGAGTAGACAGTCAGCACACGAGATACAGGCACCTGTACCAGGCTCGCCGAGCTCCCGGTGATGTTCTATCTCAGGTGAGTAGACAGCCAGCACACGAGATACAGGCACCTGTACCAGGCTCGCCGAGCTCCCGGTGATGTTCTATCTCAGGTGAGTAGACAGCCAGCACACGAGATACAGGCACCTGTACCAGGCTCGACGAGCTCCCGGTGATGTTCTATCTCAGGTGAGTAGTCAGCCAGCACACGAGATACAGGTACCTGTACCAGGCTCGATGAGCACCTGGTGACATACTATCTCAGGTCAGCTTCATTTGAAATAGGATATCCTATGATTCCAATCTTGTACAATATAGGGAGCTATTTTTATTTCTAAATTGAACTTCGATCCCTGTCATTTTCAACTTTTGCGTTCTGTAAACTCCTTGAAAGATGAAGCATTCTTTCATTAAGAACATGGTTCATAATTACAATTTTGTGATGTGTTAAGTAGCTTAAGTTATATGTAGGCAATGTATACTTAGGAATTGAACTTGTGATATGTAGTGACTTGAAGAAGATGATTCAATATGGGGGTCAATAAGTGCATTCAACATACTGCAACACAAGACACACATTTTAGAGTCTTTCTTTTCTAAATGAACAAATTCTGTATCATACTCAAGGTCACCTGTATACACATTAGGCAGGTCAGGAGACTAATTTAAATAATGATGAATAAATACAGTAAAATCTCATTATCTCAAACTTGATGGGAACGAGGAAAAACTTCGAGATCTCCAATTATTTGAGATACCAAGAGCAAAATACATAACATGCTTAAAGAATAAGTGGTTTGAACTCCCAAATCAATTTTACATATCCATATGTAGTATTGAGATATCGTTGTTCGAGATACCAAAGTTCAACTGTACCATTATGATAAGTGTTTTTCTGAATTATTTCAAATTCTTAACACTAAATAAGTGTTCATCAGTGACTGCAGACTGAAGCAAGCTAAAGGTTCGTCCACAGTATTAATTTAAGTGTTGGGATAAGGATGATTAGACATGTGATATACATACATAACATCATTACAGTAGGAGGGGGATTAGACGGTGCTCTATGCTGGATTACACATCAATGGCTTGGGAGCTGTTAAGAGTCTGTAACATAAGAGAGTAATGGGTGAAGCATAGCACTGCACCTGTAGACTTGTGTGTATATACAGCTAACATTAAGTGGGAGGTTGATTAATTACTGACAGGTTTTGCTTTTATAAATGAACCAAGGTACAAATTTGTTTTTGATTGTCTGAAAGCAATCTTTGATGCATGATGTTTTTCATCATCCTCATGTTTCTAAAGTTATTTTTTTCTTCTATATACAAAAGTTTGAAATGTAGTCTTTTTTCTTTTCTTAATTTGAACAAATTGATTTGTCTCCTAGTAAATTAAGTATTTTAAGTATGTACTTTTTTGATGTGCTAAGTTATTAATTTTTTTACCCTTCTCTGTGATTTCCCACAGAATATGTGAAATGGACCTTGTCCACAAATTTTGATTAATCATTAGATATTCTTGTTAACAAGTCAGTTGCTTTTAATAAATATTATACCTTTAATTACCTCACACATTTGTTGATTGCTATGCTTTATCAATCAGCTGCACATGTATTTATTAAAGTTCTTGATAAGCACAAATTAATTATTCTTTAAGAAAACGTAATTGCACAAGTAAGCAAATGCAATGCTATATTTCATACTTCACTTCTTTGATATAATTAAGGGTCTGGTTTAAAGATATTCACATATTAAACTTGATTTTTTTTTTTTTTTTGACAGACGTATATCCAGACCATGACTCAAAAGATGTCCCCAGCAACAAAACGTAAGGACCATATAGCCATTCCCACAGAGCCCAGCTTAACCGAACTAGACAGCACTAATACGACCTTGACCCAGGTGCCATAGAATATATACATAGGTGGATCCAGGAATTTAATGAACCTCATATTCATGATGAACATGTTACCAGATACAAACAAAATAGACAGCAAAATCTGAAGTTTTGTTTGGATCAGAATATGAATGATTCAGTTATTTTTATTATGAATGCAATGGATCCAAATATAAACTTGCCAAAAGAATTGCAAGTTTTTTGTGGGTGGATCAAGGTTCAAAACAAAAAGGACACAGTATTATGGCCGACTTTTCGAGTTATGAGGAGAAGCTGTCTCACGCTGCAAGAAGAATGTCTTAATTTATAGACTAGTGCCATAAGGATAGACAGTGTACTAAAGCTAGGGGAGCTCCAGCAATCGTTCTTCTTTGAATCCCGAGGAAAAATGCAATGAGTTCAGAATGGGCTTGATCTCACATGCGCAATGAAGAGATTTTTCTTTCTTTGTTTTTTTTTAATTCCAGTGTTATTTTTTTTAATGATTTCGGTTCATCTGAACTTTTTTGTTTGCATTCTTACCAGTATGCCTGTGCTATAAATTATACATGCAATGTCATTTGAATAAATAAACATGCATGTTTATTTTCATGATGTTTGAAATGGTTTGCAAAAGGATGAGTATAATTTGATTATATTCAATATACATGAGAAAGAAGCAAATTGAATAGTGAAATGTTTGTATAACTAGCATCCTCAGCTTAAAGCTTTTATCATGAATGTTTTGAACAGAACAATTGCTTCCTGCGGGGCTTTTTCATCATTCTCATGTACAGCTTTATAATGTATATTATAAATGAATTACATTGTATAAATGAATCTCATAAGTGACCGAAATGAACTTTTTTTCTCTTTCATTAATATGTTTTAGCTTTTATGTTGGATTTCTACCAGAAAGATACATATGTGCATTTCCTAAATTGTAATTATTTTGTTGTGTATTGAATGAAAGGGAAATAATGCTTACTATTTTTTTTAATTTTTTTGATTTATGGATTTTATGATGGTACAAGTTGCGTGGAATGGACTTACTGATTATAAGTTTTGAAAAAAAGGAAATGCTTAAAATGAAGAACACTTGAACCCTTACTTATATATAATCATGTTTTAAAAAAGTTCTTCTAAAAACATTGTTTTCATTTTACTTTTTTTCATAATTATAGCAGCCTTTCAATTTTAAATATATTTTGAAGTAAGCTGCATGCTTTTGTTTATGAATTTTTCTTTCTTCCCTTCTGTTTTGATTTTTTTAAGGTTAATGAGCAATGTCTTTTTAGGGTTTTACATATAATTATAATTATTAAATGTACAATTTTTGCCCTACTTCTTAAGAAATCAGTTTATTCAAAGACAATGTAACTGATGATGGTTTCATCTATACATTACTTATCAGGGTATAGTCATATGTTTGCTGTCCACATTCAAATTAATTAGCTTTACGTTTCATGTTTGTAGACCTTGTTTAATATTGTTGATGGATTTAACTTAGCTGCAGGGAAAACTTAACTGTTGTGAAAGTATTGCTATGCAAGTTGGCATTGTGTTTGTTTTACCAAGTCAGTTTGTATGTTATAATGTTGACAAATAGAATAAAACTGAAAAGACATTTAATATGTTGATGTTCCTTGGATTTGTGAGGCAGTTTGTACATATAAGAATTCTGGAAGTAATAATTAAGGAATGAAGCTTATTTCAACTTCTATTATGCGATATAATGGACCACAGTGCTTGCCTTTTGCCCTAGAAAATTACTAAAATTATTGGAGCACAGTGCTTGCCTTTTGCCCCAGTTGATTGGTCCCAATATCCGAGGAATTTATAGTGTACATGTTTTATTCATGTAATTTCTGTGACCAACATCCGTAAAGTTAAAATTACTACACTGAAATTTACACACATGTATATTACAGTCCTATTGCATTGTTCTTAGTGGTATTAATAAAACACAGATATACGAAATTTAGGATAACACTTCAGGAATAAAGGACTGGGACTTTAAAATATTACTTCAACATAATTAAAATCCTTGATCCCGAAGTTTAACTGATTAGATGGGATTGAGAACATAGAGATAGATATATAAGGATTCAAGAAACTCGGGGTAAAACACATTCAACAATAAAGGGGTGTCTCCAAATGAGTGAAAAATTCCCGAGAGGGACGTTAAACAACATACAATTAATCAAGAATAAAGGATGGGAACTTCAAAATACTTCAAAATCACTTCAACATATTTAAAATACATGATCCCAAAGTTTAACTGTAATTAACATTAATTTTGAACTTTTTTGGGAATTGGACATTATAAGTAGCATTGAAAAATTTCCACTCAAAAAAAAATTTCAAACCCAGATTTTCTTGATATGCAAAAACAAAAAAAAAAGCGTAAACGGTTTTAATGCAACTTTTTTCGCTTTTATTAAAATTTTTCATATTAAAAAATGTAATTACCATTTGATGTAACTGATTTTTTAATCGATTTTGCATTTGATAGGTAGGTTGACGCGTTGCAGTGTGTTTTTGACATTTTCTAGCTCTTAAAGAAAGGGGTAATAAAAATCAATTTATGCTTTGAAATTTAAAACATGAAATTTGGTATCTCAACAATTTGTTTTCATGGCATCAATGTGTGGAATTTTGTAACTATAAAAATGTAAAATTTGCTATTTTTTTGCATTTTGGACACAACAAGACGATAGAATTTTGTGTTTCTTTAATATATTTAAGCAATGCCTATACAAAAGAATATCATATTTCTTAATTCAATGAACATATGAATTCATGGATCTTCTCAACAACAAAATCTTTGAAAATTGGTGCTCAACGAATATTGGTGAAACCCTGCTTGTGTCTAGCTGTTTGTCCCGCCCTGCACGTTTTTTTTTGGACCGCGCCAATACATTAAAATAACATTTACATTTGGTAATTTTATCTCAGGACAAAGACATTGGAAATGTAAATATTGTATAATATAGTATTACTCATCAAATATTATAGTTTGAACAAAATGTCCATTGTAGTACAGGTAACCTATGACATACACTGTTTACAAATTTTGTATACTCTTCAAACAAAAAATACAAGACTCCAATAACCTTTTCAGTTTTGTGTGTTTTTAATACACAAAAATATTTTCCTATATAATCACTAATTGTATATGGGATTGGAAAAATACCTGGATGGTAGATTTCCCCTAAACTTTGCATGTACACTGAACTTAATGTAAGTTATATATGGTATAAAAATGAGGAGTTTCGCTATTGTAGTTTTCATACAGTAAAACTATAGTCAGCCCCCTTAATTTCATTTACATCAACTGCAGTATTAACAGTTTGTGGGGGTCTGTTTAAAAAAATCTTACTCGTAATATTTTGTTAATATATCACCCACTTTTCACAATCAAAAAAAAACGTATCATTGTAAATGTAAATCTTTCATTAAAAGTAAGCATTTCAAGTAAAATGTTCATTCCTTGTAATTTTGTTTGGTTTAGTATATATTAAGACAAACTAAAGCACTAGACAGCTGTGCATGTAATGTATTCCTTAAAATGCATACAAACAATTCCAAAACATGGTGTTTAATAAACATGTATATGAATCACAATTATAATATATGTGAATAAATGCTTAAGTTCATTTATTATTTTTACACACAATAAGTTGTAAAGTTTTGTCATCAACATTTCACAATCATGGTACACAAATGTCTGTAAAAATATTGTAAAATGTTCATTCCTTGTGTATCCATTTTGAATATGAAGGTTTAATGATCATATGTTAACTGCATAGCAAAATTTGAAACAATATCATGATATATTATATTGAATATGCTTACAATGAAATTAAATTTTGTTTCTTTTAAATGCAATTAATTATTAAAATATAATGAAATCACTGATACAAAAATTTTAGTTAAAGTTGTGGAGGTGCAATTAATTAACAAAATATAACAAATCACTGATACTTAATATAAGATAAATAAAGTACAGGTACATGTAACATTAACATATTCAATAAAAAATTATATTTACAATAAATATCATATTAATTATTAAATATGTAATTTAACCACTCAGTATTTACAATATGATACATTATACAATACAAAAGAAAGAATGATACATTTGAATTATGATATTGTCTTAATTTGTATTAAAAATTAACATGATTGAGATTCCTCCAATTAAAATAAAAATTTCCTGATTTCATGTATATGCAAGCAATAAACAAATGCACTTTTATAACAAACTAAACATAAAAATAAAACTTAATAAAAAGCACTAAAACTTTATCACTGAAATCATAAAAAAAGTACGAGGCCCAAATATCTGAATATGAAAGATACATTATTTTCCATAAACATTAAATAATTCCAAAACTGGGTTACAAATTAAAGATCTTCAAATAATATGTTTTGTGTATTGTGGAAAAAAATCAAACATAGACATATAAACTAAGTTTTTGTGTTGGTAAAAGTTTGTTTATGTCACTGAAGTAAAAGATTAAAAATATGTTATATCATTACATATACTTTTTGAAATAAATAAATAAAATTCTTGATTTTAATAAAAAATAGAACTGGAGTTAATAAACTAATGAACAGCTCAAGCTCGTAGAGAAAGAATAAGATTATAATTATTTTTAAACATTCTGTAAATTCTTTGCCTGTCTGACAAAATTTATAATTTTTTGTATATGCACATGTATTTATGCATGCTTTTTATTAAAAATAAAATGCAAGCAATTTATTTCATGTAAAATAAATAAAAGTAAAAATACAGGTAAAAATATATTTTAAGAGAATTAAAAAATGAAAATTCCCCAGCATTCAGCATTAACATCACAGACACGTTATAAACTAGTTTCCTATCAGCCTTCCTCCACTTCATACTGATCTAAAAACTCAAACTCCTCAGCAATGTCAAGGTCACTTCCTTCTGATGACCGTTGGTGTGACAATGAACTCTGAACCTGAGCCTCTTTCCCATCAGTTTGATCTTCAGTGTTGCTATTAGGGACTGTACCTACTGCCCTTTGAGTAAGGTTTGTGATGCCTGATAATGCATTTCCCATCACAGAAGACACAATTTGATTGGCTGTTTCCCGAATTCCTGTTGAAGAATCGACCATTGACAAGTCTCGTAAATCTGGGAATTTCATTCCTCTACCGAGTCGTGATTCCTCTAGTTCATCATCTGTAGAATCACCGAAATGAGAGGAGACAAATTTTATCTCCCCCTTTGTCTCTTGGGGCAAGGAAGGCTCAGGTACTTCTTCATCAGTGAAGTGGTCTTCTAGCGAGGGCATCTGACCCAAGCCTCGGGCAAACTCTGCCTCTATGTCAGAGGTTTCCGCTGTAGAAAACAAAAAGATGAAATTACAGTACAATTTTCTAAACCTTGAATGTTGTGAATTCTGACATGATGATAGTGACATCTTGTCTATTTGGAAAGTTTTAGCCCCTTTCCAGTTTTTAAAAACATTTACTAAAGCTCCGTAAAGCTTTTGATCTATATTCAATATCACTGATGCAGTAAAACTTGGTAATAACAAAGTCAATGCCATTGGGACATTTTAAAGTTCTTCGCTATATCTGTAATTTGTTATATCCATATAAGAAATTCATTAAATTTGTTTAACTGGGGAACCAAGATAAATTCGCTATATCCGTGAATTTGCAATATTCATGTTCGTACTAAACGAGTTTTGCTGTATCGATTTTTTTTTTCTCAAATATATCAAGTTTAAATAAATTTCAGAATTCCTTACACAAATCTTCGTGCTCATCATTGAGATTGACCGAGGGTTCCTTGGACATCCTGGGGGTGGGGATATCGGGTGTACTCATACCCTCATCCTCCGAGTCTGTGATCGCTCGAGCCAGTGCGGCCGTGACCTTTGGGTCTCGCGTTGGCATGAGATCCTCTGATTCACTATCTGAATCACGAGTCGTCGTACCAATGCTGCCAAAGTTTGCTGTTTTCCGAGCCTCTTGGTCTGAAATATACGGTTATCAAAGGGAAAGAAATCAATAAATGCAAATTCATGATACGCTACAAATATAATGCATAAAATAACTTCATAATATATATTTTGAAACTATGGGGAATAAAATCACTGTGCTGCACATAAGCAGGAATTTATTGAATGAAATATGGAGATAATGAGCAGTGATCAAGCTGAAAGGTCCATTGAAGCAACACAAATTTGAAACAGAGCAAACATTGACCCCTAAAAACATATGAGGTGGGCTCAGGTGTCATGGAGGAGTAAACATCCCCTGTACAGCAGTCACACCAGACAAGTTCTCATTGTCATGATTGGCCAAACAAAATCTGTTGACAGTTCAGTTTGTAAATAGTGGTCTAACAATTAGTGTGAAACAAGTAAGCCAGCATTCCACATAATAATTTTATTGTATTAAAGTGTTAATAACTGAAAAGTTTTCTGTATAATGTAACATACAGGATGTAACCTAAGTACATCACCACAGCATATCATGTTTAGTACATAAAAATTAGCAGCAAAAATGAGATGAAATCAGTTTATAGTCAAAGTATATTGAAATAGTGAGAATAGAATGGCTTACGACGCCAGATCCAGGGCCTGATTTTCAAACTGTAATCCAACCGCATCAACAGAGGCTCCAAGGCAATGTAGATCTTCTGAAACAAGTTGTTGTACAGCACGCAGGGCCACAACATCAGTGACATCACTGAAAAAGAGGTCAAAGGTTAATACTGAAACAAAACAGAGGTCAAAGGTCAATACTGAAGCAAGTTCCCTAGGACACAGAGCCACAACATAAGTGACATAGAACAAAGGTCATAATAACATGGGGACACTACCACTTGGAGGTGGAAAGCTGCAAATTTATAATACAGGTCTATGCAGAGCATAAGGCCATTGAGCAGTGAGGGATCTTTATCTTGCCAACATCTAATGTGACATGGAACATTGCTTAATACGGTCTCACCCGAAGCACCAAAATTCATATGTGAAAATAAAGGAGATGGGTGAACATGATGAGCGATAAGCCCATAGCACAACAAACATGAAGGTGAACAATTAAATCTCAATTATATCAAAATTTTCCTAAATATTTTTTCTAACATTAAAGTATACTTTATGACAAATCTCTACAACATGCAAAAATCTCATGAAGATTAAGTTATTTGCCTATGAAATATTATATACACATGAAGGAGGGCAAAACAAGTCATATTTTTCGATAGAAGTGGGTCTTCACTCCATTTTTTTTTAAGTTAATCCTCAAAGTCTGCATACAAATTTACATATCTTGGTTTCCAAAATTATGGAGCAAAGACCCACTATACCTTAAAAATATAATTTTATGACATAACTTTCGTATCTTTTACGGAAATACTTCAAGTCCACTTAGTCAATGGTCATATCACAAACATGATTTAAATGCCATTCTTCATCAGGACTTGTGTAGCGTAGTGGTTAGCGTGCTAGTCTCAATTAGAAAATGCAACTCAGGATTTTTATTGCTTGGGTTCGAACCCCATGGATACACCATTACCTGATGAGTTATGTATATAGACCTGATACATACCTATTATATATGTTAGAGTCAGACCAGAAATCAGTCGCCCAAATGCAGCAAACAGAAGCAAGAACGAGCAGTTCAGACACGTAAACTGAAAATACAAATTAAATACTGATGAAAATTGTTTTATAATACTTGGTTATTTAGAAAATTCTAAATAAACATCCAGGAGAAAATAGCTTTTAATTCAGAGGGCTGTTCTTAATATTAAAGCAACACATGTCCAACATACTTACACTATAAACCAGATTAATTTAACACTTTTTATCCCTCCATATTATAAAACTCTTGACTTCTAATTTAATTACAGATTTGCCTGTTAGTAAGATCATAATGTCTCATGACAGAGTAGTTGAAAACTGCTTTTCTCCTGAATAAATTTTAATTTAAAATAGAAATGAAATGCATATTCAAAGCATAAGGCTTGGCTATGTATTAAAGTTTCTCTAATAATTAATTGAGAAAAAGAGTGCAACGGTAACCATTTCAGAGCCAATAACTTATTTATTTTTGACATCCCCATCCCAAATATTCCTTTTACTAAGCTACCAGTACCTAACATATTGCAATCACATGACTGTACAAACCAAGAAATGGTGATCTTTCCTAAATGCGAGCCAGCAGCTGAAGTTGTTTGACATGAAAATCCACAGGTGGGCCAGGTGTTGGCAGATCTCGGGCACGCTCAACAGTCGGACATGTACAGGGGTCCAGCTACAAACAATTATACACCAACGTCAATTGTGATAATCGTAGATCAACATTACCATCGTAAAAGATACAGCAGAGCATAACACAAGCTGCCCAAGGTTACTACTGTGTAATGTACGTACCTGTCGGGATCTTCTGGTATAGCAGGTGGAACTAAAAGAGAAACAGAGATCAATTTTTGGCATTAAAATTTTGAGATGCTTGCCATCCAGACTAAGATTCACTAATTTATGAGTCGTTTTCATGTTCAAAATTGATGCACCAACACAAATTTTAATCTACTTTTGAAAACCCTAGTTTCTCTTTTTTTTTACGGATTTAATTACCTCTGATCTCAGGCCATATCCATTTTCTCCAAGTGTAAACGAAAAACATGATGGCAGCTATAGAACTAACACAGAAATAAAACTGACAGCCATTGACAGCAATAAACCTGAAAAGAAGATGGATAAATTTAAACATTTATTTCTTAAATCTGAGAAATTAAAAAGAAAATAATAAATTTTTGAATCTGAAGGAGAGGCCCATTGGCCACAACATTCACTGGAGTCATCTTGACCTTGCTGTTTCTTTAAAATATATTCTATAAAAACATTTTCCCCTTTTATTCCAATGAAAATTCTGACTTTTTATTGTAGCCAGCCCCTGGGGGTCATGATCAGATCAAAGCTGAAAATACCTTCCTAAGAATGCTTCCATAAAAAAAGATTTTTATTTTGGTCACCAATTTTTAATTATTATTATTATCAATTATTAAGATGCTGTGGCTCTTCATCTGAAAGAGCTTGAAGAATCCCACATGTAGATGACATTTTAGCCAATAGCAAGGATGTGTTGTGACAAGTTTGCTTGAAATTGTACAATTAATAATGGTTCTTAGGAAAAGGTTAACAATATGTTAAAAGTTAACAGTTGGAGTGAAAGACAATAGACATATACATGATTGTATGATAATTTAATGTGATGAATTTGTAGTTAAAAATATAAATGTTTTAATTTCCATTATTGTAACATTACTATAATTTAAGACACTCATCTCACTGTTTCACAATAAAAAGACTGCATGTGGTTTATTTAACATGAAATGATATCGTTATCTATCTTTCTCATTATTATTATTTTATACTTCTAAAACAATCAGGAACTTGTAACATGTGTAAAGAAAGGAAATTCTGGTTTTGGTAGGTAATCAGAAGAATGCACATGAATCATGCTACTGATGCAATATTTTGTAAATAATTTTAACACATGACACAACACAGCACATTTTTCATCACTTTGCCTGCCCATACTTCCATGTTTATGCCCTGTGACATAATGTTTATCATAATATATATACACATACATACACGGTCATTCTAAAAATAGAACTTTGTTGTGTAAACATAGAGGATTCAACCTCATAATCTGATAAACATATGCAATGTGATACATACATAATAAATACAAATCTTAACAAATTAACATTTACAAAGACTTTCAAGTATAATTGAACTCTCGTTTACAAATAATTTGAGCAAATCATTTAATGAGCAAATAAAATCTTTTCCATCTTTTTTTAACACAGCCACTGGAATGCTTCACTCTGACTATGTCAGTGTGAAGTTGCTCTGATTAATGTATTTAAATACGAAGAACCAAGAGGTTAAGATAAAACTTACCAAAAGATTCCATGAACCATCAGAAACATCACTGCACTTTTACTTGGTTTCTCCCAAACTAATAACGACTGAATCTTCATAATCAAAGGTTCTATCGGACTCAGTAGCTCCCGAAACATCTCCTCTGTTTGTCGGGAGAAGCTGTCTGTGTAATATTCTGTCATGTCTCTTGACATCTTGACGAAATGTGAAAAATCGCTGAAACTAAAAATGACAACAGAAAAGTACTTGGATGTCCTACATTTCCAGTCGATGTTTATGTTGTGACGTCACGACGAATGGAACCTGTATAAATTGCATCGTATGAAATTACAGCTCATTTATTTGCATGTCAAATGTCAAAAATATATGCTTAAACATATGTTTGTGGAATTGGAAGTCTAGAATTGAGAAAATACAAATGTTTACCTTTATTTACTTTCATAGGAAGTACGAAATCCTAACTAACTGTTAAAGTAATTTGGAAAGCAGATTTATCTCCGGATTTTTTTTATAGGGGCGTGAAATGGGGCATTTGTTCTTTTTTTTTTCCCTTTCTCATATTGTTGTATTATTATTTCTTTTTAAGCAAAAAATATCTTGTTGTGAAAAAAAATAATGTGCCGACACTGTCTTCTTTTTAGTTACAATGGTCTCTCTACAGATAATTCACAGAGGTATGTACAATGTAGAAAGGGGGGGGGGATCGAAAACTAAAATTTTTAGTTTTTTTTAACATATATATACTGTAGACTACATTTTTTTGTGGGGGGGGTTTGAACAAAAATATACATTATTTCCTCTATGACCTCCATTAATTTTATGCTACTGTATATACCTCAGACCATTCTCTGACTATCATCACAATATATTTTTTTAAGATCTCTGAACAGACAGCTAGACTAACAGACATGCAGACAACCATACCGAAACTAATGGCCTCTTTCCTTCGAAAGAAATAAAATCTATTTTTAAAAAAAGAAATATTAAAACTCTACCCTTAGACCAATGCACCAGACTGCAAACCTGTCTTTTCATTTTTCCTTTTTTTTCAGTTTTTACTTAAATGCACACAAATTGATACATAAACTGTAAGCTACTGAAGACTTCAACCATTTCTTATAAGGTATCTTAAAATACAAGTAGACACTAAACACGATTCAAACTATATCAAAACAGAAATGTCACATTTGTTTTATCAAATTCAATTATCTTCAATTGCGAATTAGGTTATATTTGTTGGTGGGTTTTTTTTTCTTTTTTCAGATAACCTTTACATTCCCTTGATCAACGAGGCCCATGGCCCACAGTGCTCGCCTGAATCATTTGTATGTTTTAGTTTTATTCAGTATAAAACCACAGGTATACTTGTGACCCCTCCCCCTTCAAGGATATTCAACCCCTTTTCACAAATTATGTTTGTTTTTTCTTATTATCATGTGTATCATAGGAAAAAAAATCAGAAAACCCCAAAAATAACCATTCCACATAAAAAATACTCCTAAACGTATAAAATGTAAAATCTATTATATATAAAGCTTCCCCGTAAGTTTAACTTTTTTACCAATTGCAATGGATCTTTAGAAAAGATTTTTAAAGATTTTCCTGTAAATTTCCATGTAAAACTTTGATCCTTGTGATCTGAAAATTTTGAATCTACACTACCCTAATCCCACCAATGGGTCATTATTTGAACAATTTAGAAGCCACACTGCCTCAGAAAGATTCCATGTAAGTTTCAGGTTTTCTGGCCCAATGGTTCTTGAGAAGGAGATTTTCTAATAACTACATCCTCTTTTTAGCCTTTTCTTGATAATTTCCCGTCTCTTGGAAAGGGAAGTGACCCTTTGTTTTAACAATTTAGAATCCCCTTTACCCTGAAAGATTCATTGTAGCAAATTTGGTTAAATTTTTTTCCTGTGGTTCTTTAGAAGTTGAAAATGCGAGAAGTTTACAGACAGACGGACGGATGAACAGCTATAGACAGAAAAACGGACAGATGCCGAACAACGGGCGATCAGAAATTAAAGAGCTCAATTGGGTTTTCAGCTCAAGTGATCAGGTTAAAACTTCTTTTGTATTCCATTATGTTCTTGTAGATGTAATTTTGTACCTAAGATCGCACCTGAAAAGTCACGACATATTGATAATGGGAAGTACATGTATGACGTTCGTAACCTTCTGCCTCTATCAATCCTGAAGATAAGAACACGAAAATCAATTCTGGTCTCTTACGCAATCCAGCAGGACTGCAATTTTGGAGCAAAATTTTTCAAAAAAAGAAGTTTGCAATTTTTATAAAAGCTTAAACATGAATACACCAAACTAGCGGAGTTGCTGTTTTTTATTTTCCCTGATTTTACCTAGCTAACGTACAGATAAAACTGTTGGTTTTTTTTTGTTTTGTTTTGTTTTGGTTTTGTTTTTGTTTTTTTTTTTGTGGGGGGGGGGGGGGGGGTTGTGACTGGTGGTCATATCCAAAACTTTTTGAAAAGAAGAGCCCTGTATGGTCCGTGTAACACTTAACAATTCAAATTTCTAAAACGATTTAGAGATTTAGAATGTTAATATATTAGTTCAAATATCTAACTTTCAAAAACTCAAACTGATTAGGTATATTGAAATTTAATATTTTATTTCAAAAATCTAAAATGTCAAATTTCCAAACAGGTTTAACATTTTGAGTTTTTAGATTTTTTGTACCTTAAATATTTAAAAATCAAATTTTCAAAAACAAATTTTGTATTTTAAACTTTTGAGTTTTTTATGTACCGTTTGTTTAGAAAGTTTACGCTTAACAATCTAAAATTCTTTAACATTTTCGTCTTTTGATTATTTAAAATTTATTTCAAACTTCCAACTTTCAAACGCTTTAGATTTTTAGAAATTTGAATTTTGATTAAAAAACTCAACTTTTAAATAAACAAAACACGTTTGTACATTTGAGTTTTTAGAAGTTTACTTCAAATATCCAAAATATCAAATTCCATAACTGGTTTAAATTTTGGATATTTAAAGTAAAATTCTAAAAACTCAAAGTGTTAAGTTATTAGAAATTGGAACATTTGAATCAAAATTCCAAATTTATAAAAATTTAAAACGTTTCAAAGTTGGATTTTAGAAGTTTGAAACTAATTTCAAATAACCAAAGGACAAAAAATATTACCGAACTTTAGATTGTTATGTGTAAACTTTCTGAACAAACGGTATATAGACTAAAAACTCAAAAGTTTAAATTCCAAAAACCGTTTTCGGAAGTTTGAATTTTGAACATTTAAAGTAAAAATCTAAAATATTAAAATTCTAAAACCCGTTTGGAAATTTGAACATTTAGATTTTTAAAGTAAAATGTTACATTTCAATATAACAAACCATTTTGAGTTTTTGAAAGTTAATGTATTAACATTCTAAAACTCTAAATCGTTTTAGAAATTTGAATTGTTAAGTGTTACACGGACCCTGTATAGAAAAAAAAAACTTTGTAAATTGTATTAAATACAAATTGAGCATAATTATGTTTATTTTAATGTTCTAAATAAAAGTTTATGGCTTCAGACATGTATTTCATATTTTAGGAGTCACAGTCTAGTTTGTTGGGTATGCCAAGACATCAATGATAGTTGGAAACGTGGGATAATTAATTTTTGCAAACTGGCCAAATGTAATCAAAACCATCACTACACTAATTGTTATCTGTGCTGGCATACATGATATCTCCCATTCATTTTTTGAAAATAGAGAGAAAAAATAATTGACTTTAAGTCATTTTGAAGAATGAAATACTGAGTATGGCGATAAGGAACAACAATGTAGCCCAAAGTCAGTTGTAACAATACAAAACAGGAGCAGAGCAAACACAGACCTCTAAAACATCAGAGGTGGGATCAGGAGGAGGAGTAAACACCCCTTATCCACTGTTATAAGTGCGACCTGCTCCTTCTCATGATTGGGAAAAAAGAAAAAATCTACATCTGTAAATAATTTAACGAGAAAATAATGGCTTAACAATAAATATATGAAAAACGTCACTCAGCATTCGTTAATGATGTATTGTATTTGCTGACAAAGTCATTAATTGTTTCGACTATAAAACTTAATTTTACCAAAATCAACAATATAAAAACTTACGATTTTTCAACTTTATACACAACCATTCCCTACGATAAATTCAAGCCCGGCTTTCTGAGATCATTGACAGCTGCTATTTCAATAAAAAATGGAACTCGCAAATTTACTTACCTTGTCATTGTACACACTGATACTCTGAAGTTAATATTGAAAAGATGCTGCAGTCTCTGATTGACAATATCTATGTGGATTTTGGAGACCAGGTCTTCCAACAATCTACTAGAATTCTCATGGGTACTTAACAACAAAGCTTTATGATAAACGTGATGAATTTAATTTTTCAATCGCCAGCTTCCCTTACCTATGCACCAATATACCTTTGTCACCTGAATACGGAGCTTATATCTCTCAGTTGATTCGATACGCAAGAGCATGGTCTACGTATAAACAATGTCTAAAACGAGGTAAGTTACTGACGAACAAGTTGATGAAAGTGTTAGGCCATTATTGACACTCTGAGTTGTCCACAGATATTTTCCGTTATTTCCCGATCATGACAAGGAACACAAGCGGGTGTGACCGGTCGGAAGGGGATATACACTCCTCCTTGGCACCCGATCCCATCTCTGATGATTTGGAGGTTCATGTTTGACCTACTCTTATTTTGTAATGTTTAATAAACCTTTGAGCTCGAATACTGGTCGTAGTCCCTACATATTTTATTGCAAAAATGAAGACTTTAAAGAGACTGCTGATATTCTTTTCAATTTGTTTGCCAATAACTTGTCTCGTCTAAGAAATTATTTGAACATATAGTATGCTCTTACGTACCAAATGAAGTGGGAAACTCCATATGCAGATGAAACGGGTATGTTACTACATTAATGAGCGAATGTTGACGGTAGAAAGTTGAAATCATCACATCTTTCATGAATGAGGAAACTTTATGTTTTCTTATTATTCCTTCATTCCTGTATATCCCATATTAAATGTGTCTTTTTACGTCTGAAAATGTAAAATAGTATTCAATCACGAATAATAATGACAAAAATGCAGTTATTGTGAATTTCGGGAGAAGTACTTTGGTATTTATTTCGAAACATTTTTAAAAACGTATTTCATTCCAAAGATGTACATGGGTCGATCAGTAATAAGTAATGAAAAGGGTAACTTAATTCATAAACAAGAACAATACGTAATGCAGATTCTTAATATTTTGAATCCCTTAAAGTAATTGACAAGTAAACTTGACACATAGGTTTTGTACCCAGACCAGAAATATTTATGTATGCAGGGATGCCCAACATACAGTAATAAATAGCACTTCCCATAACATATTTTTTGTGAATGCTTTCTATATGATTGTATTCTTCAGTGTTGAGAAGAGATCTAGCGATGGTTAAACCCTATAAACCTTCCGTTTTCTTCATAATTCCTTTATTTTTCTTTGCTTATTTAACCCGAGGACTGACATCTGGATTTTCCTTACAGAAAACCTGCTTTACTATCCCCGGTGCAAATTTTATTTTAATGTTTGTATGTACCAATGATGGTCCTTCCTTTAGATGTATGCATATTTGGATTTCTTTGGAAAACTATGAACTATGGTTGGAGTTATTGTTTCTGTTTGCATAGATGACAGCTTTTTCTTGATTCCATTATTATTGATCTCTCCCTTTTGCTATATTATTTGCATATTTTACTTGAAAAAGACGTTAATGGTAATCTAACAACCAAGCTTTATGATACACATAATGACTCCTTTGGATTATATTATTTGCATATTTTACTTGAAAAAGACGTTAATGGTAATCTAACAACCAAGCTTTATGATACACATAATGACTCCTTTGGATTATATTATTTGCATATTTTACTTGAAAAAGAAGTTATTGACAAACAAGCGGATGAAACAAGTAAATGTACATATATTAACAATCTCGTTTAAAATTATCATTTCGTAAGTTCTATGATCGATAAAATGACCTTGTCAGCATATACAATTTACATTGTATGGTTCAAATGATGACTAATTTTTCAATAATTCCCTTACTTATGCAGCAATATATCTTCAACACTTGCATATGGGGTTTACCTGGTATATCTCTCAGTTGTTTCGATACGCAAGAGCATGCTGTACGTATGAACGATATCTAACACGAGGTAAATTACTGACAAACAAGTTGATGAAACAAGAATATCAGGAGCCTAGTTTAAAGTCGTCATTTTGTTAGTTCTATGGTCGATAAAATGACCTTGTCAGCAAATAGAATTCATCATTGAGCCAAATGCTGACTGACATTCTTCATACTAAGTGTTTGGACATTTTTTACACACCGAATTCTCGATGGATTTTTTCGTTATTTCCAGATCATGAAAAGGAACACACAGCGGGAGTTTACCTTTGGTCTATATTATGCTCTTCCTCTATAACAATATTATGCACCTCTGACTTTTAGAGGTCCATGTCTGAGCATGTCCACATTTGTATATATTTGGTATAATGGGACTTGAATAGCTGTTATTCATTATTCATTATTGATCTCCCCTTTGGGCTATATCATAATGCTGGGCAATATATAGAGCATGTGCCTCTTATATATTTTGATAATGGGACGTGGAGACCAGAATTTGCAGCTGTCCACCGGCAAGTAGTGGTGTCTTCATATGAGTGAAAAATTCTCAGTAGGTGCTATAGCAACAACATAAAATCAATTGATCAATCGATGCTGTTAAAGCAATATTAAATAGCTATGTCCTCTATACATCTACACCACTGAATGTTCACGGTGGAATCTCGTTCTAGACATTAACCCATCAAGGTAAATTAAAGGGTCACGTGACCTGGTACGACCTGATAAGAGTTCCAGGATTGCTTTGGATTTCCACTTAATCGAAGTAATTATAGAGTCAAGACCATGAAATCTTTCATCTGCGTAAGTAACGAAAAATTTCATTACAAAAAGAAATTTCATATTTTAGCAGCATGATTTAGACACATTTATTATTTCCTAAAGATCTTTTCCTGGTATTCAAATATACGTTTTTAAAAATGACTTTTGAAATACATGTAAAAAAAAAGATATTCAGTGTGGTTCGAAAAAGTGACGGTTCAGATTACACAAACTAGAAAACTGTCAAATTAATTTCTTTGAGGCATTTGCTACTGCGTCATGTTTAACTTTGATTATAAAACGAAAAGTTCTTTTACGACCTCAATACTGAACTTTCACCTTAAGGTTAAAAAATAAAACCATTATAAAAAATGACCCAAAAAAAAACTCATTCTTTTATTGCAACACGCAGGATTTTCTGACACAGTGATTTGCAAATCAAATTTTAATTAAAGATACCTTGTATTAACAATATAAAATTTTATTCATTCTTTTATTTGGACACCTAACCCTTGATTTTTTTTTTTAATCTTTAAATAATGCTTTCTCACTATAAATTTTAACATACAAAAACTTTTGGGCATGGATTTTGATTTCAAAGAACTGTATTTCTGTTTTTTGCTTGAAAAAATTTTGCTTCAATCAAAGCTTAATTCTCCCATCGCAAATTTGAACATCAGAAAGGACAAAAAGGGGAAATCCCTTATTGGTCCTCTGATTTTGGGTGTCTTTTAGATCGATGCAACCGCCACAAAATGGGTATTGGTTCAAAGTTTTGGAATTCACAGAGGTCACAAATAGGTCAGAAAATGGGTCAATTTTCGAATATTCTTATTTTTATGCAATTTTTCATAAATTTTAGACCACATTTTGTTTCGGAAAACATATGCGCAGAGCACAACCTTGCCTATCTACCAAATATATTCTACACCCTAGTATCAGATGCAGTTCATGTGTAAAAATCTCGGAAAGGCAAGCTTGTGTTCTGTGTTTTTCAGAGAGAAAAGTAACTGAAATATCAAATTCCATCACAATTTTAAAGTTACCAGTGTTCTGATTTTACATCAAATAAGGGGCCAGATTCGGCTGTTACTCTACCTTGTCTTTTATAAACGTTCCTTTTTTGACATTGCAATTGTTAATTTTGTAAGAGAAGTTTTCGACATCATTTGCAGCTCATATATTGCTTTAACATTACGCAACGTAGAAACTATAACTTAATGATTAAGAAAACAATAGATCCCTGAGTACTTATTTATGAATGCGGGTGGATTTTTCAGCACCACTAATGAAAACTTTTTCAAAATGTTCTTTGTCTCAACCCCTAGGTTAAAAAAACAACTAGTATTAAGGTGTAATAAATTTAGATAGTTGATGTTAGCAATATATATCAATTCTGGTGATTAAATTAGTTAAAAAGCACGTACAAATGAAAGGAAAGTCGATGTACTTTAGCAACCTTATCATATCTACCTGTACACGAGAAACCAAAATGATTTTGGGAGCATGCACAGTAGATAATATAAGTATTTATGGTACGGGCAAAAAATAGAACGCTTTACAGGTTTATTTGCGACATCACAACAACTTTGTCTTTGTAGTTCAACAACTTTCAATCCTAAGTATTTGTTTTCAGTTGTCAATTTAAGTTTTATGATGAAGTCTTTACCGACATAATCACAATAGGTATATTGGAAGAATTTAAGTATACATTTAAACATTTTTAAAAAACGTATTAAAGATATGCAAAAATTAATTTCATCTTACATTAAGCATAGAGTGATGGTCTTTAAACTGGAAATTCCAATTTTACAAGGGATAATTGAAATAAATATACGCATTAATTAAAAGAAAAAAAAATATCTGTGTTGTTTATTTTTTTAATCTTATATTTCAAAAAAAGGAGCTAAAGTTTATTATATTTTCAGGGATTTTATATGACACTTATATTACTTTTCACAATAAAATATAATTTTAATTTTTGTAAATTCCTTTGCTGGAATTTTTACTTCGTAACATCTTCAATCAAGGAAAAAAAATCAGATTTTATTTATTTGGTAAATAATGTGGTTGTTATACATTGAAGACCTTAAAACAACATTACATATACATTACAATGAATTATGTATGTTTTCTTGCAGCTTGCAGTATTTGTGTCTCTTGTGATGGCTGACCAGTTCCTTTTGGACCTCAGTCAGGTAAACCTACAAAAAATAAAGACTTTGTTATTAGTATCATCAAATAAATATTACAATTAAAACGATGGAACATCTGTATAACTTGAATGATTTATTTTCTGGCAAGTAGCTGAATTGTGCAAATTAAAATCACATGATCAATTATCATGAAAAAGTCATGTAAAGCAACAGCATTGAAGTCATCACATCAAAATATTCTTTGTTATAAGCTGGATGTTGTAAAAACGGCATTTCGTAACTGTGTCATCATAAATCGCGTGGTATAGCAGCTTTTAAGAAGAGCATTTTATAAGAATATTTATAAATGTCATTATTTCAGAGCACAGTCGTCATGAAACAAGGAACCACATGTTACTTTTGGCGGTTAAACAGCCACGAAACCGAGGCTGTCCAGAGTCCTACAGGAATTTACGAATTAGAGGTAGATATTTACATATGTTTATATTTCTGTCTAAAACAAATAACGTATAATTTGCATATCATCGATTTGTTTTCAATTTTTGCAGACCAAGTTCCACCATCTTCTAAGTGTGCATTCCAAATTTGGGGACATATCTGACGTCAGTATTTACTCACAAGACATCCAAACTCTATGCACTGGTGCCACGCTGAAGTCGTATAGTCATCATCATTAAATGAATCGACATATTCTACCTTATTTATCTTTTAAAATAAATGTTTTATCATTTGTTTATTTCTTTATGTATATTAACATCTACCTAGAATAGTAAAAATATATCAGGGCAGCAGAAATTGCTCGTTGAAATTCATTTAAAATTCTGTTGATTACGTTTCATCTTTAAAACCAACTGAAAAGCTGTCAGTGTGACAGCTTTCCGGAGTGTCTTTGGGTTAACAGAGTAGGTACATGTAATTTGCAAGAGTTATTTCTATTATAAGCTCTCATCAGCTTTCATCTCAGATGAGCTTTTCTGATCACCCATTGTCTGACGTCTATTCGCCTGTCCGTCTAGGTGTCTATCCGTCCGTCTGTCAACTTCTCATATTTTCAAGAACCACTGAACCAGTTTAAACCAAATAGAATATTTTGAGATAACGAACATTATTCAAGCTCAAATATCAATTGAAATTATACAAATCAGGAGCAGAGCAAACAGGGACCTCTAAAACATTAGAAGTGGGAAAAGGTCACGAAGAAGTGAGTATCCTGCTAAGTTACACATTGCTACTTGTCATGAAGATTGATTGATTGATTGAAAGTTTAACGTCCCTCTCCAGAATATATCACTGATATGGAGACGTCACCACTGCCGGTGAAGGGCTGCAAATTTATCGCCTGCTGACCAGTCACACTTGCCGCGTACTACTTGTCATGATCGAAAAATAACGGAAAAATCCGTCGACAATTATAGTGTGTGTTAAAAAAAAATGCATTACCTTTTAACAATCAATTGATAAAAAAGTCTTGTATTTGACTATTAAAATTACTAAATATATTCTATTTGCTGACAAGGTCGTTTTATATCGATATATCTAAATGTGGAATAACTTCAAATTTTGGAACTTTTAAGGGTTAATAATAAAGACACATCCAATCTGTTTATATTCTAAACTTAAAAAAATGAAAAGACAGTGTGACAGCTCATCAACTTGTTTTGTTATTTCCATTATAATTAGTCTCAATTTACTTTTTCGTGTGTAAATGAAATTGTTATGAAAATGGAACTTTTAATTAAGGAGACTGTATATATTCTAGATCTCGTTTCATCAACTTGTTTGTCAATAATTTACATAGTGTTAGAAACTTATCGAATCATATCTCAACTGAGAGATATAAACTCGGTATGCAAGTGATGAAGGTATATTGCTGAAAAAGTAACAGAAGTGGATGATTCAAAAGTTAAAGTCAATTTGTTTATCATATAGCTTGGTTGTTAGATTACCATAAACGTCTTTTTCTAGTAAAATATCCGAATATAAAGCTAATTGGATATATTGTGTCGACAAATGAATGAAAATAACTGTTAACTGATAATACGTCGTCGATATTTCTAAATGTGGACTTCATAACTTCAATATTTTGTTCCAAGTGCGAAGGGTTACTGTAATAATAAAGAATCTTTTAAAAACACATCCAATCTGATCTCATTAACTATGAAAGTCCAAAAAATAAACTTTAAAAAATGAAAAGAAAATTTATAGGCAGATTCACAAAACGATATGTCGTATTTTCCACTGCATTCCTTTGAATGACTTATTATGTAGAGCAATAGAAGGAATTTCACAATGCAGATCCTTTACAACTGTCCTTGCAACGAGGCACACTGCACAGAATGACAGAAACTATGCAACGTAATTCTCGCTGTAATGCAGATAACCTTTTGACTCTGTCAGTACCTATTTATAAGAGCAGCAAGATTACTTGTCGGCTTTCTCAAAATCTTTGGATTACTAGGAAATACTCATCATGAAAATTTTAATTTCTGTAAGTTTTATTTAAAATTTTATATGACGGTACCCTATGCATTCTCTTTTTAAAGCAAAATTAAAAATACGAGTATCTATAAATTTTCTTTACTGAAGTATTAGAAGTCGTTCTTCGAGAGTAATAAGACTTTTTGGAAAACATGTTAAAGGATTTGTTTTGAAACAGAAGTAGGCCTTTATCACGAAGACAAACGAATAATTTTGACTCTGAGTACTTTTTCCTATATCAAAGTGTCCATCTGATTGAAACATGCTATTTTCAGTTTTCGAGTCCTAAATTTTTTATCATAAGTTAAAAAAAATAATTTTTCCGCCAGAGCTACTAAGTAGTGATAACAATTTTTTATATTTTAGCAAATGTGTCCATGTTTCAATAACTCATTATTATATACACTAAATTGTCAGCTTGTTAACAGAATCATAAATAATCAAACATTTAAAAGCATAGTATATATATTATATTAAGTACAGTCATGGTTTTCTTAACATTAATTCAAACTTATGTGGTCAAAAAGTGCCTGTAGCTGTTCAAGAGGACTAGTTTTGAGTGATATTTCAAGTAATAAATTTTTATACATTAATTTCATTTTTTACTTCTTTTTGATTTTTTTTAGATTGTTGATTCTTATTCTGTGAAGATTTCTTACGTAAAATAACTAAAAAAGGAAAAAAAACTATCATATCAGTATTCTTGAGCATAAAATGGCCTAGCAACTGAAATCCATATTTTTTCACTGCTTTAATCGTATCATTTCTCTCTCCTTAGCTTTGTGTCTTTGTGGCTTTAGTTGCTGCCGATCAGTTCGTACTGGATCTCTCTCAGGTAACATTGCTTTCAATAAATCCCTGTTGCTTCATCTGAAGAAGTGTTCAAATTACATATTAATTTTACTGCTTCAAACCAAATTCTTCTACGTTATCGGGTCGCTCGCATGGCGCAGTGGTTAGAACGTCTAGAGTCGAGACCGTTTAAATCCTTACGTCGCGAGTGTCCCACATAGGAAGCTGGCACGACCGGATCTTTCTGATGACACTATAAATGGTACTGAGAGCCGAGCATAGGAAAAAAGATTGCAGCTCTCCACCGGCAAGTGGTGGCATTTTCATATGAGTGAAAAATTCTCGAGAGGGACGTTAAACAATATGAAATTAATCAATCTAAGATATTGGCATGAAGCAATCATTATACTGTTTACAATAGTTAAGTTGAAAATTGCAAAACGATTTCAATCCTACAATGTTACTGCCATACGTTAATCCTCAAGTAGTCTTTTTAAATTAAGAACATATGATTAAAATATTGTATATATTTTTCTTCTATTTTTGTTGCGAATGATGCAAATAATGAATTTCTATAATATCATTATAGTTTTAATTTTTCTTTTATCAAAATTCTTTCCTTCTGCAATCATCCTTAATCATCTATGCAATTATTTTCACCTCAAATCCCATTATTGAAGAATGAAAAACTATGCGGTGGAATTTTTTCAATTGACTCGTTTAAATTTGATCCATTTTGTTATTTCCTTTCTTTCTTTCTTTTTGACAAAAAATTATTTCTGTTCTCTGACGGTTTATATGTTAGGATAATACAACTGTCGTACATTTTAAGTAATGGCGTTTTTTATTTTATGATTTTTAACTAATGGCGGTTTATATTTTAGGATACCACTGTCATGCATTTTAACTAATGGCGGTTTTTTTTTTCAATTTTTTTAGGATTCCGCTATCATGAAGCAAGGCGACATTTGTTATTTTTGGCGGCTTAATAACCATGAAATTGAATCCGTACAAAACCCTACTGGACTTAATGAAATTGAGGTATCTATTAAAAATCACATTAGTGTAAGTTTTGCATTTCCCAGATACACCATTGCTTATAATTCTACAACATAAATAAGATGCAAGATTCAAGTGTCATGGAGGAGTGATCATCCCCTGCCGTGCGCCCCTTGTTATGATCGGGAAAAGAGGAAAACCTTAGACTTCTCAGTCTTTAAAAAGAAATGGCCTAAAACTTAGTATGAATAAATTAATTGAGCTTTTGACTCAAAAATATAACACATCTGCTTTCAAGGTCAATGCATCCCTAACAAAAGCATACTATAGTTTACTTAACTATGGCTAAATTTAGTTAAGATATTGATAACTTTGACACTATGAAAACGTTGATTTAATTAAGTGATAACTTTGAAACTTTGATGTACTATAGTGATAACTTTGACACTTTGGTTTACTATAGTGATAACTTTGAAAACTGACTTACCATAGTGATCACTAAGAAAACTTTGATTTACTTTGGTAAATACTTTGATTTCCTATCGTGATCACTTTGAAAACTGATTTCCCATAGTTATAACTATTACAATAGAGTGATCACTTTAAAACTTTGTTTACAATAGTGATCACTTTCAAGTTTTACTATAGTGATGTGATAACTTTAACACTTTGATTTACTATATCTAACTATAGTAAACTATAGTGCACTTTAGTGGGTTTTTTTCTTGTAAGAGATTAACCAGAAAACTTGGGAAAGAATGACTTTTGTTTATCGAATCAACTGAGAGATGTACACTCCAGGTGATAAGGTTATATTCTACATACCTAAGTTGAAAGATGAAACAAAGATGACAATCTTCTTCATTTTGCTTATCTGAAATTACAAAACAAAAAAAAAACAAAACAACAACAACAAGAAAACGCAACAGATGTGCTGACGTCTTTTATCGAACACAAAGTGCATGTTGTAATAGTCTGCTATTTCACTAACTGTATGGTTTAATTTTGATCGATGTAAGTAATTGTTTGTTTATTTTCAGACTAAATTTCATCACCTGGTCAGTGTTCATTCCAAATTCGGCGTCGTAGCTGACATTACCATATATTCACAAGCCGTTCAAACTCTCTGCAATGGTGCTACCTTGAAATCTTATTCTCATCACAAATAAAAAAAAAAATAACCCGGACAATTTTACTTGTGTACACATATGTATTTTATTAATACTAGTACATGTAGATCATAATTACCGGTGCAGAAGTACATCGATCTTCTAAAATGCTGTATTCATGACTGTTAAAATTCAACACATTTATGTATCTTTTTGCGGACTATAAGTGGACAGCAGTTCTCCCTTTTTTCAAATATATTTCTTTTTCATGTTTTTAATTTAGCAGAAATAAGAAAATACACGTAGTTACTAGTTAGAGTATCACTTGCAGTGTAAAATCCCGGATCCTTTGATAAAAATTTAAAATAACAAAGTTAAGACATGCTCTACCTGGTTTGTCAGCTTGAACGAGTATAACTTACTTATCGTATAATCTATCGAATGCTTTTTTTCACCTCTGAAGCATTGAGTAACGTCTTAATTTAAGATATAATTATAATGCCGAAAGCAAAACATAATGGAAGTATTTATTTGTATGTATCAACACAGATACAAAATAGGTGAAAATAAAAATAGATGTATTGTAATCATAGACTAGCTAGACATAATATAGATAAGATAAGGTAGATTAAAACAGTCAAAAACTGATTTATTGTGATTTTCATTCCGTTTAGAAAGGATTATTTTTGTAGAAAAAAAAGACAAGAGACATTTTGAAAAGTCAAAATATTTTTTTTTTTGAAGTATTTTTTAAATTTATAATATAATGACTGCATTTATTATATTAAACGGTTTTTTAAATCAAAATTCAGGTGAATATTTTCATCTCAAGCATTGGTTACATAGAATCTTAGAAACAAACAATTTCTAAAATTTAAAATATTTTGTATCACGTGACCTTGGTTTAAAACAACGAACAGTCTGTTAGATTTCATATATCACATTCAATCCTAGTTCTGCTAGTTTGGGTCCCAATATCTGATCAAAAGCCTCGTTTTCAGCCACGGTGAAGTTCTTCCAGTCTCCTACCCCACCTATGGAAGGATTAAATATAAACGTCAATGTATATTTCATTTACTAGTATTCCTTCACTTCTTTATAAGTTTCGTATTTTATATACTTTTGAAAATAGCAAATACTGATTTTATTCATGTTCCCCATTCTTTATCACTGCATGTGGTCTTTACTTTCTAATTTTCGATGCTTTTTTTTAAAAAAAAACTCTTCTACATGCTATCATTTTTGCTAGACTGTGCATTTCTTCGTTTTTAAAATCCTGTACAAGATTGTCATTTTATTGAATACAAGCATAAACATTTTAAAGAATGTATATTTTAAAAAAATAACATTTTTTCTCACTACGTATGATTGGAATGCTTTATCTAGTTAAAAGAGAAGCTTCATCTATACATGTGGAAAAAAACCCCATAAAATCGATTGGAAATAATACTCTCAGTTAAGGATAGAGTAGAAAAACATTAAACCTTTTCTGTAAAAAATATGCAAGTTTTCCTTCATTGTTATTCTGGAAATTCCCTTGGGTATAGTTGAATGTTTATGAGTGGACATGATATCAAAATCGCATTTTCTGGCTATCTCTTCTATCAGCTCTGGAGAAGAATCAAGATGAAGAAAATCTGATATCGCTTGAACAGTTTGCTCAAGGTTCTGCAAGATAAATAAAAATAAATTGAAACAATAGTGTATCTCACACACAAAAATAAGAAATTTAATTATTTTTATCGCTATATTTTTCTTTTATCTGTAAACTCTGTAATTCACAAAAACTAATTATCACCCTCTTCATGTCTTCGTACGATATTTCCAAAAGTGGATAATCGGGGTTTTCTTTCTGAAATGTCCTCCATTCTTTTATCCAGTCGATCCAACCCCCACATGGAACTATAAATAAAGGGTTTTACTCTTCATTCTTTCTACCGAAACTATTCTAATATGCTAAATAAAAGCAGTTCTCATGAACGAATAACTAAAAAAGAAATATATTAAAAAGATTTTTTTCTTAACCTTTTGATAAATCGTTTAAAGTTAGAATACAGTTCAGCTTGAAAAATGTCATTTTGATACCTTCTCCACTGATAAAATGTCTCAAAAAATCGGAAAAAGACATATCCACTGTGTTGTAATATCGTAGCTTTTTGGTGAAGTTAAAGTATGAAACTGCAACATCTTTTGGGTTCCGGAATACATGGATGATCTTGCAACGTCTCTCCAACAAATGTTTTGGCAGGTGTCGTGGATACATATGTGAGGTATGGACACCATTCGTTCTCTGAGCGATATCTATCTCCTCCCTTGGATTGAAATCAAAACAGGGCACCAATCTGTCCATATATTCCGAATTTCCATTCTTTAGCATGTAACATATTTCATACGTCCAACGTGTACCTGGATTCAATGTAAAATCACGTATATTTCAAAGCCTCTGTTTATTCCTAATATAACTGTACATTTTTATGTAAAACCTAAAGTTAAAAGAATTTTATATTTACAAATATACTTTATTTTTTTTTTGAAATTGGACATATATCTGATCTTTAAAAATCCAACGAACCTGACTTAGGGTATGAAACAATACATCTTTAAATGTGAGATCATTTAATTCAGCCAGGTATTTAGGTACATCAACATCCGCTTTGGCCCCAAGGAAGTTAGGAAAATAATAGCCGTCATAGTCCAACACTGTGACGAATGGTATTCCTTTATCATTCAATAAAGTTTTCATTTCTAAATCAATAAAATAATAATAATATCATACAGTGTATTATTATGTTTATAAAACATACCTATAAAAGGTATAAGCAACATCTTCGTAAGTAAACAAGATTTTTTCTTTCGCATAATTTTGTGATTTATCAATTAACAAATGTAATTTCGTTTTATGTTTCGACTGGATATATTTCAGTGACCGTGAAATGAAAGACATCACAGATTCTGACACATTTTTTTTCAATATTTGGATGTTTTATTGACTATAGACGACAAGGAACAATTAAAACTAAATAGTATGAAAAACAAAATTACATGTATATGAGCTTTCCCACCGCCACATTTCTTTATGTAGTGATACTCCGCTATCACATGCTTATGGTGTTTATGTCCTTCAACATATTCGATACTCAAGAGTCATTTTTGTTAATACTATCTAAGATATCAGCACCTCGGTATGTTCTTCACATTTGTTACATCTTATTGCTTTAATTGTCATGGGTATCGGCGTGGAAAGGCGGCCCGTGTTCGTGCTGGTTATCTTGCAATCCTTTGTTTACATCTTATTGCAGTTACGTGTATTTGTGTTTGTTTGTATATATCACTGATTTGTGCAACTGATGCAAGTCTCTTTGGTATGTTACTCTTATTCATAATCAGCATTAAAAGAAGTACACATTCATTTATTTATTATCGTTACAGAGTGCTGTATAGGATACATCAATCTTCAACGGTAACGATTGATTACACTGAACAGAAACTAAGTGAGTGGCTATATATAGCGGCTCTAAGATTAAGCGAGGGACCAAACAAATATGGCGGAAAAAACGCTTTTACAAATCGTGTTCTGCTTTAAGGAGGCTACCCACAGATAAGCTGATGTAAAAGGAATTTCAAAAATCTCGTTTACAGTAAATTTTCGTGAATTCTATGCTTGTTAGCAAATATATCGATCATATTGTATTTTGGCTTCTCAGTTGCTTCTCATCCATTCTCATTTATTGTTAGACTGAGGAATGTAATATATCAACATGATCAGTACATAGGGCCTGACTGGTCAACAAAGGATGCTTTCTCATTTTAGGCTCACAATTCCACTTCTGAGATTTCTGGGGTTCCTAGTTTATGCCCTTTTCACAGATTTAATTTTTTTTTACTTTTTTTCTGTAAACTTTTTTCTAGGGAAAAATATACGCAAGCTCCCCCTCCTGTTTATAGAGCACAGGGTCACATTAAAATGAAATATGTACTCCTTTTTTACGTTAATCTATTTTCCCAAAGTCAAAATAAATTCAGTTTGCAGTGGGTCCTAATTATTGGTATGATGTTATAAGTATAGATATTAAAAACTTAATTAGCAAAGGGGAACAATCGAATCTATATGGTTCATGAATCTCCAAAATCTAATTTTGAAATTTTGAATCTTGATATTAAAAGAGCCTTCTGGTCTAGCCTGCGATGTAGAAGTCAAAAATCAGAACTTTTATCACCCGGCTTTAAAGATTTGAAAATCCCCAATGTTAAAGGTTTAAATGAGTGCTTGTCAGTTTTCTTATTTATGATATATATACTACTAATGATTCAAAGAAAATTGGAATGATATAGAGATTTTGAAAATTAAATACAAAACAAACATAAACCCTTTCCATTCGATTGTTTCATATAAACAGTTAAAATTTTTAAAGCATAAATCGAAAAATTTAAAATCAAAGTAAATTATAAACTGAAAAGCATACAGACCTAGCATATAGATGTAGCTTACGACTTGTTTTAAATACTACTTCAAATACCAGGACGTTATATAATCAAATGTAATCTATGTTTTTGATAGATAACATAACACAGTTTTGCAAGAGAGGTTATATAGTATTGAGGGGCCTGCTTTAAAGGAATAAACTTTATATACAAGGGATATAGCAATACAATAACATATTTTCGTGGGGTCAAATTTTTGTGCTTTGTGGAAAAACTCTTGGTTCGTGGGGATTATATTTTGTTAATGAAGCATTGTTTAGTTGTTATGTTGGTAACATTTCACATTTTGTGGTGAACATGAATTCGCGAGTTTCTTCATACTTCGAAAACAACGAAAATTAAACCTCAAGGAATTTGTTGATTTCCAGTATCTTTATATACAAGATATACAGCATTCTGTAAAATTAAAGCTGCGCTGAGACACTTCTGTATTCCTTTCCCGAGAAATGGTCACCTACCATAAAATCTATTTTTTCCAAATAAAAACACCTACCATTAAATCGTAATATTTTTTTTTCAAATAAAAACAACAAGGTACTTTAATTGATATAATCTCAGCGATGATAAAACCCGTAGAGAAAAGAATAAATAAGAAGCAAATGTTCTATCTTAAAATTTGTAGGAGGGGTACCCTTTTGTCACCTGCTCGCCCGCCATTTTCACCATTTCAATAACCGTATTTTTTCCTTGGAAAATCACCGTAAAAATTATAAAGTTTCTTTATGAAAGTAGAAATTAATTTCTCTCTGAGAAATTGATTTTTTCGTTTGCCTTTTTAAAGATTTTTTATGAAAACTCTTGTATATTGACAGTAAATTACACAAAGAGAGTAATGTCTAATTATACTGTGTAACTTCAGTTATCAGATTGCAAAATAATAAATAATACAACAGATTATTTCTAGATTTTGCTTTAATACTATTACTGAACAAAATATTATGATTTGAAATTCTAGTATAACCGAAAGGTTTCTTATTTATTTGAACTGTTTGTTTCAAAGATGCCCGAGACTTCGCATGGCAGGAAATAAGAATGGAAATGTCTTTTAAAAAAAGATTATAAGAAATTATGATGCAGAAAACATGAAATTTCATAAAAGGTATTTATTTTTATCTTTTATCCATATCTACATACAATTAAGAAATACCTGATTTTAAGAATTGATATAATGTAATCATATAATTGGTAAAATTAATCAATTTACAAAATATTTAGCAATATATTATGCATAAGGTACCAGTACGTTTTTTTTTTCGAGAATACATGGTTTGATTTTCATTCTGTTTAGAAATGATGTATTTGGAAAATAAATTAAACTCCTAAAAACCAAAATAGGTTTTATTCTTTTTATCGCGATTTGCATTGTGAATATTCATTAATGAAACACATATTAGCAATTTTTTAATTATATTTGAAACTCACATTTAGAGAGAACTTTCTTATTAAAAAAAAAGAATATCTATTTAAAATATATTTATTCAAATTAATGAAATAGATTGAACAGCTGTCATTAATGTCTGTGAACATTCTCTTCCAGCTACAGAATAAAACAAACAAATAAACTCGTTAGACTTCATTGTCAGTTATTTTGTAATACGTGACCCTGGTTTATATCACGTAAGACCTTGTTAGAGTTCATATGTCACATTCAATCCTAGTTCTGCTAGTTTGCGTTCAAATTTCTGATCAAAAGCCTCGTTTTCAGCCACGGTGCAGTGGTTTTTCCATTCTCCTACTCCGCCTATGGAAGAATTAAACATTAAACATCAACATGAGTATTTCACTCATTATTTCACTTTTATTAGTTTGATAGTTTCAAAAATTTAAATATAGAAAATGATGATATTCTTCATTTATTTTACACTGCACCACAGGTTTACAAACATACTTGACATGTGTTCTTTACTTTCTAATTTATTTTTCATTTTGTGTCGTTCATTAGCACTGTTTGTTGCACGAAAACTTCAAAACTGATTTTTTTCATAATTAAATTTTAAAAATCCTACTTTTGTTTTCTATCTTACTGCAAGCCTTTGTCAATGGGAAAAACCCTAGCTTAAAGGTTAATTTGTACAAATATTACTATGCATTAGTGTTTTTTAAACGAGTTGCTTTCTATGTCCTTATCGATTGTGTTTCAAAATTCTAGATGGTCCTGTATTTGAAACAGGCATGCCCATTCTAAAGATACATATTTTAATATTTTTTTTACATATACTTGATTTAAATGGCTCACTTAATATCGAAAAATAATCCACACCAGCAAAAAAATCAAGATAGAAAAACGAACGGTAATAATACATGAAATATATATTGTATAGTGGTATATTATATATTGAAAAGTAATCAGGTTCAAAGTCCCTTGCCGAGGTTGGCTTCTGATATTTATGGTCTTAATTTTTTTGTCAGGTATATTTTTAGTTTCTACACACAGAGCTTAATTAAAAATAAAATAAAAAATGAGGGCCATTATCCTTCTTTTGGCACTATTGTACATTTATTATTATTTTTGCACTAAAAATTTGTGTCTTAATAAAAAAAACATCTTCGATATTTTCAATCCAATATTTTTACACAAATAAAGCATTGAACAAAATAAATCATACGTCTGTTGAAAAAAGACACTTTCTGCATTTACAAAATGTGATTTTTTTGGCATTGAAAATTTAATAAGCAAGACAATTATTTTTAAGATTAAACTTTTGCTGCTTTTAAGCAGATAGGTCAATTTATCTTAAATATCTAGAAAAGAACATCAAAATATGGGCGTATGATGCGAATTTTTAAATATTGCTAAATAAATGTCAATTTTATGTTAAAATTGGCTCAATTTATTTCCTGGACTTTTGATCAGAATATATTTACTCTATGTGTCACGATTCGTTAAAAGATTGAATAAGAAATAATATGATAGATATTTCAGAACCAGCAAAACAGCTTTATGTGCAACCAACATGGAAAAATAGAAATTTAAAATTAACAGTGGTGCATATAGTTCACTATGGAAAAATGATCATTTTCTTCTAAAAAAAAAAAACAAACCTGCCACGAAATATAGTTCCCAGCTTTTCATTGAATATAGTTCAATTTTCATTGTGGAATCCAGATTTAATGTTAGAACTTAAGAATTGCGAGGGATTTTAGAAATAATTGTCAAGACCAAAATCTGCTCAAAAGCACAGGATCGACCCGCCTTCAGCAATACAAAATAGAGGCAGAGCAAACACGGACCTCTAAAACTTCAGAGGTGGGAACAGGTGCCATTGAGGAGTGAGCATACACTGTCGACGGGTCACACCCGCTGTGTGCTCCTTGTCATGATCGGGAAATAGCGGAAAACTCTGTCAACAATTCAGTGTGTTGATAATGGCCTAACAATTAGGATGAAAAACGTCAGTCCGCATTTAATCCAATGATAAATTGTATTTGCTGACAAGGTCATAGTATCGACCATAGAACTTTAAAAAATAATGACTTTAAACGAGAGTGCTAATATTCGTATTTCATCAACTTATTTGTCAATAATTGACCTCTTTTTCAAAATCAAATTTAAGTCCAGAAAAATACAAAAGTCATATGAACTTTTCTTTTTCTCCACAGGTAGAGATAAATCCGACTATAACAAACAGTTCATTTATGGAGAAAAGCGTTTTTTGAACTAAGTTATGTCTTCTTATGTGCCTTTTAATACTGAAATCAGTATAAAAAATTATGAAGTATTAGCGTTTTAGAGGAATTTCACCGAAATTCCTATTTTAAGTAACGATAGCAACACTGTTCAACAAAATCAAAACTTTATGCACTAAGATATGTAACTTCGAAGTGTAGTCTACTTATTTGCCAAGCTATGATTGATTGTGATACATGTTAATATTGCCTCCCTGATTTGAATATATAGTATTATACATATGATCGGAAACAACTTCTTTCAAATTAATAGATCCTCAACTTATCATACAAACACTGAATACAATATGATTGTCATAACAAATAAATAATTTTAAGACATATAAGTACCCTGAGTAATGAATAAGAGCTCTAATGTTACATATACACTGTTTACGATGATTATTGAACAAGGAGCTTGCATATTTTTTATTTAGAGCATATCATATCATATCAATCATTTAGTATGACCATTTTATGGTTTTTGCTAAAATACCAACATAATAAAACTGTTAAGGAAAAAAAATTGAGCCATAAAAATGCAGTTTCTTATGTATCCATACCTACTAGTATTTGTTTGATTTGATTTTGTCCATTTTATCTGTATGGGTGGTTTCAATACTTTTTCATCCATAGTCGCTATTGCTGTAAAAGTTCACCCAACCGAAAATTCCAATATGACACTTTAATTTTCCCCAAATTTACATAAGGAACAGGTGAGAATCTCTTACTTGTTGACCCGTTTACCTGATCGAAAAATACATCGTAGACGCTCGCACCAAAGTGTTAAATGACACGCAATTCATTCATCATAAGACTGAGAACCCCTCGGTTTTCTACAACAGCTAAACCTTTCCTCGTAAGCTTTGTGTAGACCATTAATATGTTAGTCCAACACACAACTCTATGTGTGTTGTACCCGAGAGTTAATATTATCGAAAAATCTCGCAAGCCACGTGACGAGACTTGCAGCTTACTCGTCATATTACAGGTTCATTTATCCGCATCATAGATGTCTATTTCCTGAAACTTTTGAGTGCTGTCGGTCTTTCAGACAATTTATTTTTTTTGACAGATTTTCGTTTGATACGAAAAGTAACTGAGAGACACGATTCAAAGGAACTACCCAAGGTAAGTTTATTCTTTTTATAGCCCATTCAAGTATTTCTGTGTCAGTGGAGCTTGATATTGATGAAGCTGTTCACATTTCCATATCTATTATGTAAGTTTTCAACTTAAAGCTGAACACTACTAATAAAAGGCATTGTCCGCCATATTAAATTTCTCGTCCATCGGCACTATACCCTATACCCCTATGTAAGCCACACCTCAATTAAAAATTCAATTAAGGTACATGTGTATTTCGCAATTAAGGTATTGAGGACAGAAGAGTACAGATGTACGTCTTAAATTGCCGTGTTATTCGGTCTCTGTAAAATTATTATCATTTTACAAACAGCGTGACAGTTTGCTTGATGGGGCGTGCTAATATTTTGTGTGCTTATTAGTTATCATATTACTCTTCGATTGGATCAATAAAATCAATTCTAATTTGCATATGAAACTCGAAATACGACAATACCTTGATAATACTGGCCAATCACATTGAATGATTGTTTCCCAGTACGGCATTTGTAGTTAGCAGCAACACGTGGTCAGTCAAAGTCGTTTTCTGTCCTCAAAAGAGCATGTATCATATTTGTTGCGATTTGACCGGATGGGTTTTTAAATACGTATAAGAAAATTTAAAGAATGGAATTAGTACTGTGTAGCTATCAATATCATCATTATAGGAAGTAAAACTTGATTTGTCCGTTCACACGTGTTTATTCAATGAGATTGGTCAGTATTGTCAGTGGTATTGCTGGGTGACTGTGTTTCACACGCAAAATATTATTGATTCCATTGAAATCAAACATCCAATCGATGAGTAAAATGATAATCAGCATACAAACTTTTTACACGCCCTATGAAGCAAAATGCCACGTTTTTTGTAAAACGATAATATATCACATTTTACGCACTTTTCTCCGAGACATATGTAATATATATCAATATATTATTTGCAAACAGAAAATGCATATCAAACAAGGAATAAATGCACAAAATCTAAGACCAAAGGAATAGTGCATGTCGATCACGAGCTTTAAGTGTGCAATCGGATGTAACGAAAGCGAAGGGTTCATATATATCTGTGTGACAGTGCCTGTTCAGCTTTAACCTCGTGTGTAAAACTCAATCGATGTTTATTTAAGCTGCCATTGTGATTTTATCTTTCTTTTTATGCCTACAGTAGCCTAGGTCACACAACTCCCCTTCCCCCACTCAAACGACGTTTCATGTAAGACTAACAATGCAGCAACAGTATAGGTGACCTAGATTATACATACAGATCTCTATAAAGAGAGGAACGAACGACAACTCTGCGACGGAAATTGATATGATTGTAGATCTTGAATGTCCTATATTAAGAATTTTCATTCATTTTGTAACCCTTGAATATGCCTAAAAAATTGTAATAACTTTAAAAACTTGCTTTAAACAGAGAACAAATACTCTAATATTTGGATTTGAATTATTTTTTTTATGTATTTTGTGTTTAAATGTTCATGGGTTAATAAGATAATTATAATGGAATAATCATATGAGAAAAAGTGCCACGTGGCCTGAGGACTCTACAAAGGGATGTTTCAGTACTTTCATTATATATTCAAACATTAACACTTCCATCAGTTATCTATATTTAGAACTCTTGTCATTTCTCTCTGATTTATAGATGGCAGATTGTAGTGATCAGGTTTCAGAGAAGGAGCTGATATCAATGAAGGGCTTTGAACAAAGTTTGCCTAAGCAGCCGACAGCCCCATTTCAGTCTGATCCAGGTAGTCCTCCGTCCTACGAGGAAGCAGTTCAAGGACAAGACAAGCCTTCTCCTCTTAATTATGGTGGGGTGTACCCTCCTATGCCCCCTTCGCAACAGGGTTTGGGCTCTGATAACACATCTTCCCATGGTCAACATTTCAGTGGACCTCACAAAGATCTGTCTAAGGGTCGTGAGACTAATGATCACCCCTTTCAACAGAGTAATGTAAAACAAAGTGAGGGACCAGCCGTCTTACAAAATTTTCAAAAAGCTTCAAGCAAACCTCCAAAAAAGCTAAAATTTCTGTTAGACATCTGTCCTAGACGCATGGATGAACCCGAACACGTTAAGATATCAGGAATTACTTTTCTAGCGAACGGGAATATTGTAATTACTGATAAGGCAAACCTTATACTGAAGATTTATGATGACAAGAAAATTCTGCTTTGGCAAAGAAAACTTGATTCCGAACCCTGTGACGTCACACAAGATCCAACAGGCGAAATTGCTGTTGCATCCCCAGATGAGCACAGAGTTAGCTTTTTTAAGTCACATAACCTTTCCCCTGTTCTAAACAAGGTGGTTACAAATCCAAACTCAAAATGTTTTGGTTTAACTGCAACTGATGAGTACCTTTTTGTCATATGGCAAGAAAGTAATGGCTCTGAAAGCATTCGTATTTATAATGACCAATACTCTGAAATTAAAAAATTAAGCGTGGCCGCCGAACGCTTTCTGGCCGTAGATCCAGCAACTCAGGATCTTTTTTACAGAGTTTTGAATTTTGGCAATGACCAAATCAAGTGTACCTATGCCTTCAGCGACGGCAAAACAAAATGGAAAATTAAAATTCAAGATCCATTATTAGAAGGGATGGCACTTTTAAAATCCGGAATTCTTGTAACATCTTCCTCTGGATTAAGTTTTCTAGATTTTAGGGATCATACTTTTAGGTCACTTTTGAGTCCAAAACATGTAAGCGTCCTCTCTGTCAATAGAGACCGGTCCAAGATTGCCATGGTGATTAATGAAGGTTATTTAACTGATGATAAGAATGATGTGGTACGATTGTTTGATATTATTTACTGAGAACTTGATTGGATAAATGGGCAAAATTGTTCAATATTCCTGCATTTTACATTGTAAACCTCAAATGATAAATTTCTCGTGTTTCTTCATATCTATGATATCCATGCACTATTTTGTTCATCTGTATTGTTTTGTAATTAGAATATGTATATAAATTTTTACTGTGTGACTAGCATAAATTATGACAATTGTCTGGTAGTACTTAACATGTATGCCTTCGATATCATTGAGTTGTATTTATTTCAAGAAACATACTGCAAGAAGAATTTTTGGTTGAACAATACATTAATAGCAATATACGAGGGTTGTCCCGTAAAATCGTGGACAAGTTGTCTAGTTTGAAAAATAATCATCACTGCGTTCTGAAATTTTCACCACTTTTTAGTAGATAAATTATGAATATACATAGCAAATTTCAAATATATATATGCATAGGTAAACAAATTGTGATATTTTATGTTATGTACTGTATCGCCCTACGGCGCACGGATGATAACGTCAAAGTGTCTAAAACAGCGTCACGTTTCATCTTTGCTAAACTTAAAGTTGGATAAGCCCCACTTAAATTTAGAAATTTTTATTGATTTACATATGTGAGTATCTATGACCAGTTAAGAAACCAATGTGGCACACTCATGCGATCTTCTGAATATTTATTAGCAAGTTACACACAGTATTCTCACCATCATTCAACTAAAAGAGAATCTCACATCGACCGTCGACAGTGACAGCGTCCTTTGCTATTACAAATGGCAGTCTGTCCATATGTTTTGTACTATCTGGGGACTCGACCACGAAGACTTCACTAAGAAAACTTTCATTTCATTTATATACTAAAGATCTGGAGATATTTTTCACATTTTCTTTCTTCTGTATTCATTTAAAGTCTCTTAAGGCGTCATTACAACATCCTAATCTCTCTGAACTGCTCTCCGGTGCGCCGTAACGTCATAAAAAGTCGCCATTTTTCGTGCATTGTGTTTATTACTTTCCCATTTCAAATGCTCGGAAAACTGCCAAAAATTAACCAAATGCTTTGAAATTTTTTAAAAGATGACAGAATTGATTAAGGAATGGAGTAAGGATAATTTTCATCCTAATCTTATGTTTTGAAAACTTTTATTACGAATTAATTCTTATGTCTTCTCTAATATAACCTTGCTATTTTTACCGTGCGCCGTAGGACAATACCTTGTGCACATTCAAGCAGAATAAAATCTTTATTTTTGAATATATATTATAAAAAACATTATGATTCACTTAAATATGATGAATAAACATTTACTGAAAATTTCAGCTTAGTGCGCCCATTACTTTTCGAGAAAAACGCTTTGTCCACGATTTTATGGGACAACCCTCGTACATGTACTTACTTGAAATTTTTTTTAAGCACAGTGCATTTGTCATTTACAGTGAAAAGTCAATGATATTTTTCTTTGCATTTTATAAAATGTAATACATTTGATAAATCATTTAAAACTTTGAATCAAAGAATTCTCTTAAGGATGACGTTTATTAAGCAAGAGATGTTTAAAAACAAAAATTGTTTTGAATGGACATGTTAGCTCTGTTTTAAAGCAATATCAGTTCAAAAATATGATTTTCCTATTTGAAGAAATATGCAAGAACAAACAAATATCTATTTTGATGCGGAAGAAATTTATAAAAAAAAATTTGTTATTGCTCTTGATGTAAAGTTATAGAAACTTATTTCATTTTGTGTCAATGTAATAGCTTTACAGTCTTAAAATAAACATACATGTTGTAATTTTTTGTTTTTATTTTTATGAGATTGTACATGTAGCATTGTTCATCAGTATAAGAAATATAATGAACAAAGCTGCATTTAGGTAAATTGTAAATTATAATACAGCAGTCAAGAGATATATGTTCTATTGTTCTTATTTACCTGCATCACATGAGATGCACATCAAACATACTATAGGAATGGAAAAATCATGAAAATATCTGTTCCAAGGTTAGCATGATTTCCTTTCTTTGCACTCTAAACTGTATATGATAGTTGAACACTTTTGGCTGGAGTGTCATAAAATATGGAAGAACACTTCATAAATTCATTAATTTATACAAAATGATAAAAAGCAAGACTCGTGTTCTTATTTATGCTTTCGTGACTATAAGATACCGTGCACTGGAAATTTAGTGGGTGACGTGGAGGTCGTGGATCAGGTCTCATTTTTGTGACCAATGAGTATAAAAGTTTTGACCTGGGATATAGCATTATTCTAACATCAGGTATTACCAAAACCTATTTCATAAAACACATAAAAATGAGAAAAACGAGGTGCTTCGACCATTAAGTCCCCACCTCAGACTCCAACTGGTTGCGTCTCTCCTTTTCAATAATCCTGGATCCGCTACTGCTGTGATGAAATAATATGTTGCAAGATTCTTGAAACAAATGGGGAATTGCTCTAACAAAAAATCGATTAACATCCTACAGACATTTTCTGAGACACAGTTAGCGCTTATTCTAATTTTATGTGCTCTTTAATACTGAAACTGATGAACAATTCGGTTCATATGAACCTGAAGCACATTTGCAGCTCTGTTCTGCAGCATGTTAAATAATAAAGAGGGTGTGTGTGTGAGTGTGTGTATAGAGCATTTATTAAAAATGCCAAATGAGATTACAGATTTTACAATTCATGAATGCAGCAGAAGGTGGGGCCCTAACTATACTGTACTCTTAGTTAATCTGGGTTGCGTTAGAGAAAATGTAGTACAAGCTAGAAACGTAATGAAAATAGCATGAAAAAAAAAATAAAAAAAAATAACTACCAGTAAGGGACTAATTTTATTCTGATTCATAAAAGATTCATCTATCGAAAACATATTAAAGAAAAAGTTGGTTTTTCCCTCCTAGTTTAATTTAATTTTGGAGATATTCGAGAAACCAAAAATCTATATTCTCTTAATTCTTTAAAGATTTTTTCGAATTTCTTTTACGTTTATTGTTAGGCTGTTCGCAGCTAAGCTTTAATGTCATATTTAAGCTCAACTTTGTTTTAAGGCTTAAATGTCCTTTTAATCACAACTCGTTGATCTTGGAGATTTGATCTTGGTCAAGTGTGAATTGTATTCAAGTCAATTTCTTTTGACTTAGCTAACAGTACAGAGGCGATACAGTTCAAATGCTAAAGTGAGTGGAACGGTGAGCTATACCTGATTTAAGGAAGTTTTCTCTCTTATTAGACATTGATGCTGCTTCTTGTGTTTTATTTTTTCACTGATATAAATACAATATTTCCCCAAACCCTCCTCACATAATCTTATATTTTACTAGCATATAGATTCGGTGAGTATAATTTGTCTATAGAAAGGCACATTTGAAATCAGAAAATAATGTATTTCAGAAAGAATTCTTCAAAATGTGAATACATTATAAAGCAAAATATTTTGAACTTCAAAATATTTTGACATACACAGAAACAACAGTGATTAAAGTGTTTTGGAGTGGAATGGAATTTCGATGCTTTCATTATTTCATGACACCTTTTACTATTTATTCGTGAAATAAAAAAGTCTTTCAATAAGAGAGATATCTCTATAGCAAAGAGAGATATCTCTTTAGCTTATAGACATATCTCTTTGACTAATAGAGGTATCTTTATTCCTTAGAGAGATATATCTTTAAACAAGAGAGATATCTCTTTTTGTAAGAGAGATATCTCTTTTAATAATAATAATAATAATAACCTTTATTTATCCAGGATAACACAATTAGCATAAAGCTAGTTTTCATTGTGGTCCTGCATTAAAAAATATTTACAATCACATAAGGATATACAAAATTAACATCTTAATATAACCACAAGCTATAAAAATACAACACATACATATATAAACATGAAGAAGCATATCTTTTATACACTTAGACATTGGGGAAAAATCCATTTTAAGTATTGAGTTTGTTAAAATACTCAGTGAGATACACAGATTTAAAAATATCCACTGACCTAGAATTTCGAACATTTTGTGACAGTTTGTTCCATAAAATAGCAGATGAATATCTAAAAGAACGTTTGTAATTTTCTGTTTTGGCTCGTGGTAAATACAATATGTTCGACATATAATCATTCGACCTGGTTTGGCGACAATTGACATCTCTTGTATATTGAAACACATTCAAATAATCTGGCATTTGATTGTTTAAAACCTTAAATAGAAAAGTGACCTGTCTAAACATAAAATAATCCTTGATTGGCATCCAGTTTAAACAGGAAAATAAAAAGGTAGTAGGAGTTAAAACATCTCGAATGTTTAAGAGTATCCTAGCTGCCCTCTTTTGAAGTTTGTACAACTTTTCTAAAAACATTTGATTTTTCACATTGCACCAAACAGTGGAACAGTAAGTAAAATGCGGAAATACAATACTATTAAAAACCTTAATTAAAGCATTCGGTGGCATAAAATGACTCACTCTCTTAAGCACAGCAAGTTTTCTTAAAATTTTCTTTGAAATAAAGTCAATATGAACATCCCAAGATAAAGTATTATCAATATAAACACCAAGTAATTTGGCCTGCTTCACAAATTCAATTTGAACATCAATAAAATTTATGATAAGATTTCTACATTTTTGTAACTCTTTGGATGTGCCAATAAGCATGCACTGCCTTTTTTGGAGATTTATACTGAGCTTATTTTTAATCATCCATTGAATTCCTAACTCTAAATCTTCTTGAAGTTTTCTCTCAATAACCACTGTATACAAAGTGCTAATCGAAAATCTACTTGATTTGCATCACTAGCTATATTTGTTTGGATCATTCGAAGTCTCTATCTGCACATTTAGACAAAAAATGTGCTTTTATTTACGTTTTCTTACTACTAATAAAACTACTTCAAACAATATGAGACTTCTTCTTGGTATATTTAAAGATTATGATATTTTTGTTTCATCTACCCCTCCATAAACATCTGTAGCACGCGTTTTTCACGCATCTAATGGTCATTTTTCGACTAATCATCCACTGGAATGGACTGTTGAAATTATTTCAATAAAACATTTATTGTAATGTTTAATATGAATCTTTATCAAACGTAAGCTATCAAATTCGACCACCAGGTCTTCTTTATAACTTGACAATTACATCAAATATGCACCTACCCAACTTTTCCAGAGCTATTTTTGGTTTGCGTAGAAAATATCCAGAAAGCTATCTTTGTTGTCATGACAGCTATACTTTTTTCGAGTATACATATAGCATTTAGGCCTAGTGCAGTTAGTAAAATAATTTACTAAAGTTACTTTATGTTTGCAACAGTACTGTACAATATTTTCTTCCCCAGACTCCTCTTACATTTCAACAATGGCCCAATCCGTAGGAGGTCCATGTGTCATATGCTCACCTTAAGCGTTTTATGCTCAATCGGTGAGTGTGAT